CTGTTTAACCATCGACAAGGTAAATCCACAACTTTGTCCAAATTCGGCGCCATTTTGTCATCCCATATCGCTTGTTAACAATTCAGCCTTGTTACTCTTCCATCCAAGCCATTTCCATTCCACTAATAATAAATTTAACCCTTTATAACAGGAGGAAACTAAAAAATCTAAACAAAATACAAGAAATACGCCATTTTATCACCCTGTAAAATGTTGTTTACGAGTCCTTCAAAACATTTCGTACAAATCTCGCGTGGTTTAGCAATAGGGACGTGACAGGGGGAGGGGGGGGGGGTAGAGACTTGAAAAATGAAAGGAAAGCCCACACAGTATGGTAAAACCAACAATCAACATTTAATTTGTGTGACTTTTTCATATTAATAAATAATAATATGTATATATTTGTCGCTACAAGAAATAAAACAAACATTTGTATGATTGTATTTAGCTTTTAGTCTATTTCACGCAGCCTTCTTCTATCTTCGTGAAATAATTCACACCCTCCTGTCACGTCCCTGTTACTTTGTCACGCGATATTTGTACGGAATGTTTTGAAAGACTCGTGAGCAAAATTTTACATGGTGATAAAATGGCGTATTTCTTATATTTTGTTTAGATTTTTTAGTTTCCTGTTATAAAGGGTTAAATTTGTTATTAGTGGAATGGAAATGGCTTGGATGGAAGAGTAACAAGGCTGAATGGTTAACAAGCGACATGGGATGACAAAATGGCGCCGAATTTGGACAAAGTTGTGGATATTTACCTTGTTGATGGTTAAACAGGTATGATCTACTTGAAACCAAGTTGAAACTTATTTAAAATGTTCTTGATACCATTATGTCTGAGATGATTTACATTTTTTGTAGGATGTCGACGAGATCGCCGATAAACAACGGAGTAAAGTGGAGAACTTGGCCAAATACGTCTATTTGCAGGAGGTAGGCACATTTCAAATTATTATTTCGGTCAGAAAATATTAACTATTTTACACCAAACTAGTGATAATATATTTAAATAAGTACCAATTATGTTTCTATCAAGAAGATTTAGGGAAAAAGGTAATAGTAGTGAAAGACCCCACTCTGGCAACGGAAGTAATTAGTATGCAAAATCTCCGGAAATAATGAGCATACAAAATCTATGACGTCACTTTGTTCAGCTAACAATCTGGCGGATTTTATAATGAGCTTCCAAAATCTATGACACCAGGTAGCGCGACCGATTAACGCGGGCAGGCCTGGGTCAAATGTGCGTCAAAACGCTGAGAAATAGCATGCGGTAAGAGTTATTATGTATCTACAATTAAACTAATATTTAAATCCCGGTCTGCCATATGAGGTCTATATACGAGAGAATATGCTGCTGTTTAGAGTTATATAAACACATGGAAATTAGAGGTTATGATATATAATTGTCAAGCGATTTCTATATTTTATTGCTAGTTTTTTAAAGTACTAAAACTCGGATAAGGTTAATAAATTTAAGCTATATTAAAGCACACCGGTTTCTATGTGCTGTTAGGGTGACCCTAATTAAAGGATTAACTTTTTATCAGAGATTTGCATTTTTCTACTGTGTGGATAAATACGGGTAGATTAGGATATTCATTGCGCGGGCGTCGCGGGTTATCCGTGCGGGAAGAGAGAAAGCGATTTAGACAAGACAGGAGCGCTTTGCAGCCAAAACTTGACAACGTACATGACCGCCTCATGATGAACGAAAACGAACGAGGGCAAATAAGGAATCTATTCGTCACAAAAATCATATTTTAAATATATTTTAGACATACTTTAAACTAAACAGTTTCTAATCCCGAGTTGTCAACGTCGTTGTTAAGGTCAATATTTACATGTTGTTCAACGTTATTTTAGCAAATATTCTACATACATATATACTGTTAAGATGACCGAGTCAGATCATAAGTAAGCTTATCAAGAACATAAGTTAGAATTGGAACAGTTGTAATATATTTTGCAATAAAAACATGTAATCGTTATATACGTTGTTATTTGTTGCTAAGTCATTAGCGACGCTTGCGTGCATGCATATATTAACGTTCAACATATTTGTACACTAATCAGGCGGGCGGATCGCGCGGGCGGAAAGAGCGGGCTTTGCCGGCAAAAATTACACAATATTTCAGTTTTTAAATTTATTTCTTCAAAACGTTTTACAAAATTTAGTACGGTCTACTTCTAAGAGCGTAACGTCTAGGTGTTTTTGTTATTTTTAAAGAGTTTTCATATTCTTGTCTATCTTCCGGGGATAACCTTGCAACATCTTCATTCTTCATTGGAATATATTTCGGCCTCTCGCGAAGTAATCTTTGTTCGTAACCTTCTCTTTGTTCAGGGGTCATCATTGCCAAATCTTGGGGCCTCCAATCTGTAGAGTCTACCCAATTGTGGAAAAAGTTGTGCTTGAGTTTTGGCCGTTCCTCTTCTGTTGGTGGTGGTGTAAGGAAATTAGGTTTAGGTGTAGCAGGCACTGGTGGTGCTATCTCGACAGATTCATTGGGTTGTGGCATCTCTGCAGGCACTAGTGGAGTTGTCTGAATAGGAGCTTGAGTCGGGACATCCATCTTATTTTTGAATGTGAGAAACCGATTTAGTTGATCAGAGTATAATTTGCTTTTTTCCACTGCGCTAAGCTGTGGTGCATCCATGATTTCTTTCATTCTCTGTTCGGCATCATACATTGCGTTTGCAAGTGGTGGTTGACGATACGACTGTTTGTGTAAAAACTTTGCAATCTCGCCGGGAAGTACATTTGTCTTGAGTCGATCTTGGTCACTCGTTGTCGGCTTTAAATCCAACATCAAATATCCGTGAGGCCGGCTCGTAGCATCTTCATAACTCCTCATAAACTCTTGTACTTTGCCGGGATTTATTTGCCTTGCAAGTATAGAAATTTGTTGTTTATCTCTTGGTGACTTGAACAATACGATATAATGCGCGTTTAGACTAATATTTCTCATTTCTTTGCCCTGATGAAATATATTTTGGACAATATAGATGACAGACAAATTTCGATGATGACTTCCTTTCGTAAAAAGATCGGAAATACGTTTATCTTTGCCAGACTGAGCCATAAGATCATCCAATACGATCAAATTCCGTTGCGATACGTCCAAGTAATCCGCATTGTCGATATCTTCGGGGATGCCTTCATTAAACTCGATTCCAGGCATTATCCTCATCATATCAAAATAGGACGGTTGGCATTGACCATAACACCAAATGATACGCTGAGGAGTAGGACTTATAGTCGTTTGAGCATTCTCCAAGAGAGATTTCACCCATACGGTTTTGCCGCTTTGGGTACATCCTGCAACGATGCATGTAAAGGGATGCTGCATGACTGTAACCCCATTCACCGTGAGAGTTTGCTGCCCAAGATTACGAGGTCCATATGCATGGACAACCTTCTTGTGGCGAAGGAGATTACTCGCATTTGCAAACGTTTTACCGCAGATGTCGCATTCATAAGACATGTTTACTTCTCAAGAGTCAGTGTAAAATGATTTAAAGCAAGAGTGAAGAGGTGTATTTATCCCGTTGGTTATTGTCGCGTCTATGAAGACTATTGTAAAGACTATGAAAGACTATAGTCCTGACTATGAAAGACTATAGTCCTGACTATGAAAGACTATAGTCCTGACTATGAAAGACTATAGTCCTGACTATGAAAGACTATAGTCCTGACTATGAAAGACTATAGTCCTGACTATGAAAGACTATAGTCCTGACTATGAAAGACTATAGTCCTAGACTATGAAAGACTATAGTCCTAACTATGAAAGACTATAGTCCTAACTATGAAAGACTATAGTCCTAACTATGAAAGACTATAGTCCTAACTATGAAAGACTATAGTCCTAACTATGAAAGACTATAGTCCTGACTATGAAAGACTATAGTCCTAACTATGAAAGACTATAGTCCTAACTATGAAAGACTATAGTCCTGACTATGAAAGACTATAGTCCTAACTATGAAAGACTATAGTCCTAACTATGAAAGACTATAGTCCTGACTATGAAAGACTATAGTCCTGACTATGAAAGACTATAGTCCTAACTATGAAAGACTATAGTCCTAACTATGAAAGACTATAGTCCTAACTATGAAAGACTATGGTCCTGACTATAAAAGACTATAGTCCTAACTATGAAAGACTATAGTCCTGACTATGAAAGACTATAGTCCTGACTATGAAAGACTATAGTCCTGACTATGAAAGACTATAGTCCTGACTATGAAAGACTATAGTCCTAACTATGAAAGACTATAGTCCTGACTATGAAAGACTATAGTCCTGACTATGAAAGACTATAGTAAAGACTATGAAAGACTATAGTAAAGACTATGAAGACTATTGTCTAGACCTAATCTATAGAGGGCGAGCCGATCCTTATATATGTGTTATTTCCAACTAAATCTTCATTCCGTTGCTGGCCGCCGAACAGAGATGACTAGCAGTTATATGAAACACAGACCATTTGTAGAACTCTTATGTACTTCTCATCCAGCTCAACAGCAAGCTCTTCTTAATTCTACATCAGCTGAGCAAATTCGATGCTTGTGTCATTGTATAGAAAATTTCACATACTCTAAAGAAACAAAGGACAAACGCAGACCTTTCGAACAAGATCTAGCTGATTTAGCAGACAGAGATAGAAATTTTAAGATGAAAAAGGAAATTCTTGTTCAGCGGGGAAGCGGCTTTCTGGGATTGGTACTTGGACCACTTTTAGAAGGTCTTGCAGAATTAATATAAAATAAAAAGTATGAAGGATATCTCCTCATTCCAATCATGGATAGCGACAAACGATCATCTCCTGAACAGTGGAGACTTGAAGACATTCTCAAATATCTTGACGTTGATGATGAACACGAAGCCGAAGAAATCCTTCATTCTATTTTAACCTCTACGGGGATTTTGACTTGGAATGGAAAAGGAGAAATCGTTTACAGAGGACATAATATACGAGGCACTGACATTGTAGACCTTCTGAAATATTGCGTGACGCCTTATCATCCAGATATTCCCGAACCAACTGGATTGAGTATTTTTATGAAAGGTCTTGCAGAACTGGAAATTGATAAAAGCCTAATCTTAAATGGACATGTCCTTTCCGTGCTAGCCCACAAGTGGTCCCGTCAGTATACACAATCTGATGCTGACGCAACTTGTAACAGTTGTAACAAAGATATATACATCTCCCATTTGAGTACGTGCCCCGTATGCATATGGACAGATTTTTATCCGAATTGTAAAAACTGTCGCTGTATGATCTGTGATTTTCAAGTGTCCAAAGGAGATTTTACACATGTAATCACCAGCTGCCCACATTGTCGCCGAGGTGAAATTATAGATATCAGAACGGATGAAAGGCAGTCCTTTAATTAAATTAACCATAAAATAGGCGACCAAAGTGATATTTGATTAGTTGACTGCGTGAAGTTGAACTGAACACATTAACATGCCGAGAGGTACACTTGTTGTAGACGAAAAACTACTGAGAGACCATTTCTTGAGACAGCAGCGTGGCGGAAACATCGCTGGGTATCGTGGTGCACGTTTTCAAAGAGGATACGGGATCGGAGGTATTTTCAAGAGCCTTGCGAGATATGCTATTCCTCTATTCAAACAAGGTGCTAAAGTTGTTGGCAAAAGAGCATTACAAGCAGCCACAGAAGTGGGTCAAGATATACTCCAAGGAAAAAATGTAAGAGAATCTGTAAAGACTCACGGAGGTGACGTTTTTAAAGACTTTGCCGAACAAGGAGCTAAAGCCCTACTACAACAAGCAGGGCGCGGAAGCAAGAGAAGGCAGGGCCAACGCAGTAATTTATCAACTACAAAGAGGTTAAAACTGTGTTCTCATATAACAGTCCCAAGACATACCAAATGGATTACGGAAGATCAAAGCAGCCACGATGATGAAAGCAGCTATGATGAAGAATCTGACAGCGAAACCCTTGAAACAAGTGACGATATATATTAGAAACATAATTTTGTAAAACGTTTTGAAGAAATAAATTTAAAAACTGAAATATTGTGTAAATTTTTGCCGGCAAAGCCCGCTCTTTCCACCCGCGCGATCCGCCCGCCTGATTAGTGTACAAATATGTTGTACGTTAATATATGCATGCACCCGCAAAGCCATGCGCCTGATTTTAAGGTATACACCTGCGTTAAAAAATAATCCCTATCTATCCATCGGGATACACTTAGTTATGCAAATTCGTATTACCTTAATCCCCTTAATTACCTACACGCCTCCTAATGACTTAGCAACGCATAACAACGCAACATTTGCAAAGTATAAAACATGTTTATTGATACAAATAACAGACGATAGTGTCAAAAAATATTACAACTAAAACTATTTGTTAAACTGTTCTATAAGTTTTTTCTCCATGAGTTCTTGATAAGCTTTCTTATCATCTGCCTCAAAACTTCTAAATCGTTCACCCGTCGCCTTCACATAATACATGTAACTCGGTGGGTAAGAGAAAAACGCTTCAGCTACGGACTCGAGTGGGTCTTCTAATCTCCAATGAAACAAATAGTTCAGTATACATTGTAGTTCGTGGTTCTCAGTGTTCTGATGTAGTTCCATCAATGAATCGACAAACGTAGAATCTGGATCTTTTTCCAGTTGCTGTAAATGTTCGAGTACATCTCTATCAACCGCCAGTTTTAGTACCCTCATTGCCTCAGCGAATTCATTCCAAACCATACGCTTACCATTCACTCGTTCGATCGCTTGTAAACCATACATTTGCCATCGTTCGTTTTCGTTCATCATGAGGCAGTCATGTTGCCTTTGACTAGGATGACTGACTTGACAACCATTACAGGATTCCACACAAAGTCTTTCAACTTCTTGTGCGACTGCATTCGCAAATATTCCTTCCAATAAATTGTAAGATGTGGTTTTACCGTGTAGACACGCCATGACTGATGTGGAACAAATATAGACGATGCTTGTTACAGGACACTTGTCGATTTTTTATACAAACACTCATTAAATCAAACAACCAATCATAGTAAGCCAACATTAATCCCTCCATTGTACCACACACGTGGAGAGACGCTAAAAAATGCGTAGTCAGCAAGTTTCGCCGATCGCGCTTAAACCTGCCCGCGTGACGTCATTGCATATAATTATGACGTATGTTAATGAGTGACGTCACTACGCACCCTCATTTGTGCGGCCCCCCCTTAATTACTTGCATATATAATGTGCGGCCCCCTTGCATAGTAATTACCTGCATATATAATGATGCGGCCCCCTTGCGGCCCCCTGCGGCCCCCTAAAAATCCGGCCCGATCGGCCCCTATATTACTACTCATGTCCATGATTTTACCCGAAGCAAACAAATGAATGCGTTTGGCTTATTCTATTGATCCACTTTTCAATTGTTAGTCTAGGACTTTGTTATGAGTTTGTATACATTTCATTTAGGACAGATAATCTCAACTGTTTTAGGGTAAGTTGACCATGACGGTCAACATGGTAACGCTGCCCGAACCCCAATCCGGGACGAAATGCCCAAAACCGACCACACCCAAAAACGACGCTTTCGCCATAGTGCTATCTACCAAACCATACAAGCTTTGGCTCTTCTGAAGTGCTTATATGATTCAGAGATGGTGCTTTTAGGGGTGGTCATTGGTAAGTGTGAAATGCCTAGCACTGATATTTCACAAGAAAATTACCATGCAATATTCATAGTCAAACGTCAATTTGTGCCTTACAACTTCAGATAAACAGCAGTGGACCTATATTACCTTTTTTCCTAAATCTTTTTGATAGAAATATAATTGATGCTTATTTAATTATATTATCACTGTTTTGGTGTAAAATGGTTAATATTTTGTGACCGAAATAATAATTTCAAATGTACCTACCTCCTGCAAATGGACGTATTTGACCAAATTGTCCACTTTACTCCGCTGTTTATCGCAGATCTCGTTGAAATCCTTCCAAATATGCAATTCAGCTCAAACATAACGGTATCAAGCACATTTTAAACAAGTTTTAACTGGGTTTCAAGTAGATCCTACCTGTTTAACCATCGACAAGGTAAAACCTCAACTTTGTCCAAATTCGGCGCCATTTTGTCATCCCGTTCGGTTGTGCACATTTCGGCCTCGTTCTTCTTCCATCGAAGAAGGATAAGACGTGATAATGACAAATTGAACCTGTCAGGTGCTTGTTACTTTGCCACACGAGATTTGTACGGAATGTTTTGAAAGACTTGTAAGAAACATCTTACAGGGTGATAAAATGCTGCATTTCGCATTTTTTATTGTATTTTTATTTTAATGCACTTAACAAAGGGTTTAATTTGTCATTATCACTTCTTATCCTTCTTCGGTGGAAGAAGAACGAGGCCGAAATGTGCACAACCGAACGGGATGACAAAATGGCGCCGAATTTGGACCACTGATATACACTAAGACTGGATAGTGCATCCGGTGCTTCAGAGTGAAGCCGGAAGTGAGCTGCAGTAGCTGACCGCCGCCATAGATTTCTATTACAGAATGTATAGTTTTCGTTTTAATAAATCTCTTTGCCGACCGGCCTATTCACGTGATAAATAGGTGCGATATGTTCCGGTGCGATTTTCTCTGCGAGTACTTGACCCTTTTAAGCGCATAATGCATCATTAGAAAGCTGATGACTTTGTCTATCGAACGATGACGGTTGGTTCCGTTTTGAAATGTGACACGTGACCAAAAAATGCATAAATTTGCATAAATTATGCAAAAATTTGGCAATTATATTTGCCTTTTGCCTCATTACAATCAAACAGTGCAAATTTTTCAATGCATTATATTTATGAAAAGTTTGCTTAGGTTATATGATATATGTGTGCCAAGTTTCAAATAATTGACTAAAAGAAAATATTTTATTTTTATTTTTGAAATTCGCACTTTAGAAATGGCAGAATCTTGCCTTCAATTTCATTGACATGTCTCCAATGTAGTATTCATGCCAGAGCCAAATATATATTCTTTTACATAGTGGTAGTGGATAGGCTTTAAGAATTTAACTCCTCCCCCCCACATTTTCTCTAGTGAAATCCTCCCTATTATTTGTCGAAATAAAGGTTCTAAGCAACTCGGCAACCTGAATTGGGAAAGTCACCCCCCCCCCCCCAAAAATTGTGTGCAACAACATAATTTGAAAAGTAGCTGACATCATTATATTCTACAAAGTTTAAGGGAAATTTCCCCATTTGATTGAGTAAAAAAAACAATTTGTACAGGCACCCAAAGGTACTCTTCTGAGATTGAATGACACCGCTTGAAATCAAATTCATCCACAACACACTTCTTTTATCAATTTTTAATAATAAATCAAATAATTACATTGAATATACATGAATGTAACACAAATAGTAAGGAAAATTATATTAAAAAATGGAATGTATGTCAAATAATGAATGACCTGTAATCACAATGGGAATATATGATACAAATTTCATTCGTTTGACAAATTTGATGTTGGACATGTTTCAGTCCACCCAAAATACCAAATGCAGAAATACTCATTACCTCCTACCAGTGTAATCGCTACTATGCCATACTGCAAAACAATCATGCTCACCACCAACTTGCAAGTGCTTATTGCACTGAGGAGCACTACAAAAAGTAATGACCTTCCTCTGCCCTCGACCTTCCGCGTAACAAACAACACAATTCCTTCTTATACCATTATCTGCCGTTGTAGCTATGTGAGCAGTACAGAACTGATCATGGGGAGGAACAGCCTGTACTCGCTCATTCACTGGAGGTCTATCATACTCTGCTAACCCACAAATCTGTCTAATTATCTGCTCCCTATAATCAACTATAGAATATGTGGATATACGATGCAACGCCGGATTATCCGGGTTACTGTCGCGATGGTTTTGAAAAAGTATAAAACTATTAACAATTGCCATATCTATTAAGTGGAAGAATAATGTCTTCCACCATCGATAACACTTACGAGATATATTATGACATGCAAGCATCTGGTCAGACCTATCTACTGCGTTCATGTACTGGTTATATCTATGAAATGCATAGGGCTGGTTTACAATTACCTTTTCAAACACTCCTCTCGTTTTCGTCCTTCTCTCCACATCCTTTTTATCATTTCCGGAATCAATTGATGTGATCAAGGTAACAGGTCTGTTATCAACCCATTGCAGGGTTAACACATTCGATTCCCTTGTCTATCGCATGCTACCTCGCTTCAACTTCTTCGCCTACACCTTCACATCCTTCATGCATTTGGGGAATCCTTCCCTGTGCCTGATGATGGGGTCCCATTCATGAACAAATATTCAACTAACTTAGGGGATGTAAAAAAATTATCAAAATATACATGATACCCTTGCCCCAAATATGGATTCACCAACTTCATAACCACATCATAACCAAGGCCATTCTGCGACGGTGCTTCATGCTGGGACTTACCTATGTAAACATTGAAATCAATTGTATACCCATTTGAACTATCTGCTAATACCCAGAGCTTTATTCCCCATTTTGTTGGCTTATTCTTCATGTATTGCCTAATCCCTGACCTATGTTTAGACTTAACCATGCATTCATCGACAGCAACATTCTGGCGCGGTTGGTATAACAAGTGACATCGCTCTTTGAATGATGCAAGAAATTCCTCAACCTTGCGCAGTTTGTTGCTGGCAATCTCTTCGGCGGGATCTACCACATGCAGGAATGCCATAAGGGCTTTGTAACGGGCACGGGAAAGTATTTTCCTCGCCCAGAGACCGTGGGTCTTCGTGCTCCAATACTTTTCAACTACTGTGTCTACACGTACCAGACCAAAATAAATCAAAAGGGCTATCAAATGATTTATTTCATCTTCAGTAGTTGTTTCCCAGGCCCCATCCCCAGTGGTGTATGTAGTGTGCCCCCCAGCTGCAAGTCTCATGAATGCATAGCTGTTGGTGTGGGCAACAACTGATTTTATCATCTCGGTGGTGAAGAAGAGACGAAAAAATTCTAATTCAGTTGTCATTCCTCCCCGCAAGACATGCCTATCAAAATGAATTCCTGGCGGACGGCTTGGTTGAAAGGGAGGGAGGGTATTCCCAATGTCTGCATCATTACAAGATTTACTATTGGCGGCCCCGGTATCCCTAGCCCTTCCACCACCCCTGCCACCCCTGGCCCTACCACCCCTGGCCCTACCACCCCTGGCCCTACCACTCCTGGCCCTACTGCCCCTGGTCCTACTGCCCTTGGCACTGCTGCCCCTTCCCCCATTGCCAGAAGTACCATTAGGAGAGTCAGCCCGTCTCCTAATTGGGGATCGGCCCCTTCCACCACTACCCTCCCCTAAATCACCACCCTCCTCCCAATCCGGATCCTCGTCATCTACTTCAGAATCATCATCTTCTTCATCAACAGGTTCTTCATCACTATAAAAAAATAAAATACTATATACATACTGATAGATGGTATTATCTTACTTCATATAAACAAAAATGCATGAATTAATTTTTTAAATGCCCACTTATGGCACGTGCGCAACATGGCGCTCACACATTTTGATATCGGTTCAAACCTTTGATTTTTGTGGCAATATAAAAGGCAGAACTTTCAAATAAATGCCTTATTACATCGGTTATTTGTATATTTGTTATATTTCGGATCAGATCTTAGATTATAGACCAAATTCTTATGGCAAATGTGCGTCAAAGTTCACGGTTGCGTCGAATGTAAATTTAATCCTTCGACCATGACATGACAACATCTGTTCGCTAAAAATATGTAAATACTTGCCTTGAGTCGCTATCCGACATCTCCAAACGTCTGTCCAAGTCTTCTTCTTTATCCGATGGTATTCCAGGAACGTCGAAATCAAAATTTTCATTACTTATAGCATTTAAGACATCATCAAAATTTAAAGCCATCTTGTATTTTTAAAAATAACAAAGACGGCAGCATGCCGTTGGTGCGCCGTGCGCACATCACTTATAATCTAAAAAATGCCATATAAGGCTCGGATATTGCCATAAACCAATGAAATTCACGATTCAGGGGGATTACATCATGGGGAATCGATTGCCGAGGGTTTTAAGGCCGTGGGTTGAAAAGATCTCGGAGATTATAGGCTCCGAAGTTTGCCGGCGGATTACGACGCGTCACGAATGTACGTGCATTTCCGAAAATGCCCATAAAATTTGTTGTTTATGTCGTAATCGTACGAAATTCAAGACATAAACAGATTGCGAAACGAGGATTCTAATGGTGGTATTTCATTTGAGCGAAGATATAGTTCAGAAAACACGTATCTGAACGTTTTAAAAAATTATAAATCGCTCGCGTTGTATCGTAGACAAACAAAATTAGGTCTCACAATGAGATTGTGAAACGGCGGATCTAACAGTGGTATTTTTGTCTCCATCATATGCACTGAACCGAAGATATGAACATGCAAAGCCATCAACCGCTAGAGGATGAATGAACTGGGATGGGCCGATGGACCGAAACAAACCTTGTTTCAGGAAAGGAATATATAACATGAATGCTTTAAGAAGTAAATTTGAAGTTTTTAACCATGAAATCGCAGAGAAAACCGAAGTTTTGCGTCGTGATAATGAGTTCGACTGTGCGAGGACTGAAGATGTGAACGCCAGACTCGTCAATGGAGGCTAAAGTTACAAGGATTAGATCATATTGAAGTGTTGGATCATTTAGTTAGGAATACTGATTCAAAGTACAAAGCAGCTTGACTAACTGAACAAGTTAGGCGGTACAATTAACGGCGATATTTACTGCTGAGTGCTGTATAATAAAACAGGTACGTTTTGGCAGGTTTTGCATTAATAATATGACCTTTGTCATGGGTGTCAAAACTTAAATCCTGGTTCATACATTGTTTGTTTAGTACTAAAATGATGGGATAACTTTATATTTGAGTTATATGAAACTTTTATTAATTTCTGTGTGGCAGACGCTAACTGAAAAAAGTTTTTAAACTCCCTTGCATTTGAAACATTTGAACTATTAAAATGGATGACCCCATGTGGTCATGAAGTTCTGTTAAGAGTGAAGGCACATTATTAGATTACTCTGATATTTTAATTGCAGGAGTTGGGAAGACAGAATGCTGACTTAACAGCCAAGAACATTGCAGCACTCGTGGCACTTGATTTCCATGTGGACTGTTCGTGCAGTCGATGCTCCAGTCAATGTAATAATTGGCAGGTTATTTCTATTCAAGGATATTGTATTCAGAGATGCTTTGAGAAATAAACTTGTGAATACTAACACTGGTCAAATTAAAGCTGCAAAATTTAATTACTATCGTAGTTACTTATTGTCTTGACTACCGACTACTTACTAATGAAATGTTCATGCAAATTTACATTTCTTTCAGTCTTCACTATTATCCCTTTAGATCTCATCTCCCAATGCACCTGTTTCCTGTTTGGTAATTTTATCATAAATACTTCCTTGACCTTCTCATGAAACAAGAAAGAAGGCTATTTGCTAACTGCTAAAGATTCACAAGAACAAGGCACCTGGGCCAATCAGGGATTTAAGACATGTGTATCAAAATGAATTTTTTTTTTATTTTGACAAGCTAAACCCACAACACTCTGAATCTACAATATTTCTCATTATTTAAATGGCAGAAATACATATTAAAATGCAGATGGTATTGACAACAACACGGCATGATAAATATCTTTAATGTAATATAAACTAACACAACAACTACAGGTGCATATTGACTGAACATTGTACTCTTGATGTCTGATGTCTGATGGGCAAAGCTTCATAGCATTTACAATCTTGTCTTGAATTTGTAGAGTCTTCAGTACAACTGAAATACAATATACAAAAATTATAGTGAATATTTTCAAACCAATTTCAGGGCTTTGGCCACAATATATACATTGTACACATTTCATTTCACATTTGAAACAAATCCAGTACACTACAACAGATAATATCAATGACATGGCTTTCTGTTTGTTTGGTTTCATCCTACAACTCAGCCACCCTGCATGAAACCTCCAAAGTCCAAACCGAAATAGATGGCCTGAGTGCACGTTCCATTCACTCCACACCAGATATATCCGGTGTGAGGTTACAAAATTGCTGGTGTATTGCCGTGAGATCACTCAAAAAGAAGTGATAAGTGTAACTACAAGTGTAACTACAACTACCTGAATTGATTGTCATACAGTATGTATATTCACAGTATAACCTCAAGAATATGATGCCAACAGTATATAAAACATGCCAGGTTAGCCATTTTAACATGGATTTTGGTCCCCAAAGTTAAATTCTCCAATGTATTGGCGTGAACTATCGCACATGTTGGCGTATCTCCGGCGTAGTTTACATGGAATGCACCCTGGCCAGTTGGTTTATTAAACAAATTTGGCAGCCCAAGCATAAAAATCTCAATTACATTTACATTGTACACTATGATGTTACTTGATGCCGCTTATTAAACCTACCTAGTCACTCAAAAACTTAAGTAATTGTTTTAGTACTGTAGTTAGTGACTATTTTATACTGAAAAATCATAATTACTTCGTAATCTGCAGAGTAGAATGCTGTGTTCTGACGTTCGGTCAGCTCTGATATTTCGACGGTCAAAACCAGTGGGTGAAAATATCAAATTATTTACCTGCGATTTAGTTTCTTTCAACATTCAAATGTTCCTCATACTTCTATGATATCTGCTTGTTCTTGAAATCCCCAGATTTGACTTGATTTCTTCGCACACTTAGCGAGTATAAGGCGAAAACGCCGAAAAATGTCAGTTTTACAATAGAATCTACAGTCTTTCACTCCTCAAGTGGGGCAATTCAACATGGCGCCCGGTCTCAAAACATGACTTACTTCCGGCTTCAATTTTTGATTGGGCCTTCTATTACGATGCTCTATCCAGTCTTAGTGTATATCAGTGATTTAGACAGAGTTGAGGTTTTACCTTGTCGATGGTTTAACAGGTAGGATTCACTTGAAACCCAGTTAAAACTTGTTTAAAATGTGCTTGATACCGTTATGTTTGAGCTGAATTGCATATTTGGAAGGATTTCAACGAGATCTGCGATAAACAGCGAAGTAAAGTGGACAATTTGGTCAAATACGTCCATTTGCAGGAGGTAGGTACATTTGAAATTATTATTTCGGTCACAAAATATTAACAATTTTACACCAAAACAGTGATAATATAATTAAATAAGCACAAATTATATTTCTATCAAAAAGATTTAGGAAAAAAGGTAATATAGGTCCACTGCTGTTTATCTGAAGTTGTAAGGCACAAATTGACGTTTGACTATGAGTATCGCATGCATGGTAATTTTCTTGTGAAATATCAGTGCTAGGCATTTCACACTTACCAATGACCACCCCTAAAAGTACCATCTCTGAACCATATAAGCACTTCAGAAGAGCCAAAGCTTGAATGGTTTGGTAGATAGCACTATGGCGAAAGCGACGTTTTTGGGTGTGGTCGGTTTCGGGCGTTTCGTCCCGGATTGGGGTTCGGGCAGCGTTACCATGTTGACCGTCATAGTCAACATACCCTAAAACAGTTGAGATTATCTGTCCTAAATGAAATGCATACAAACTCATATACATGTCCTAGACTATGTATATGTTTTCTAATATATGCACAAATTTACCTTTCTCAAACTGAACGTTTAATTGGTGAAATATAAAAAATTCTTCTATTTTTGGTACTGAATCAATTCATCCGAAATTTTCAAGAGTTTATTTACCAATTAGTAGAAAGGGTAACCAACTTTTTAGGTTCAGGACATGACTGTTGTTCCACTTTTTATGTGGAAACACATAAAGTCTTATTGGACAAAACTTTCAACAGGAATAGCATTATCAATTTCTTGGTTGCAACGGAAATCGTACGATACTCGCAGACAAAGTCAATGATTTCTTCTTGAGCATAACAGAGAACTTTCCACGGTTATCGCCGTTTTTTACCAACTCAACATGTTCAAAATAAGTTCCTTGTTTCTGAAACAGAGGTTTAAACGATCATTGTCATCTCCACAGGTGGCCAAATTTGTTGGACCAGACAAGCTCCCAAATAGAGTGTTAAAGTCTATTGAAATAGAGTGTTAAAGTCAGTAAAGATTAAAATGTACAAAACAGAGAATGGGTTTATTAAAATATAATAACAAAGATGGTTGAAAGTAGGCATCCTGTTGCTGTCGTTATGGCAAAAGATTAAGATGTAACCCTGTACTGTTTGAGCCTCTCTCAAGTAACAAACCCATAGCAGGCAACTTGATCATGATAAATTATGACAATACTGCTACAACCTGTTGACAAGCTTGCTAGTACAGACCACCATGAGATCAGTAATTCAGTGTTTCATGCATGTTGGGAAGATATCTTGTTGGCAAACTGCACGGGTGAGAATTTTAAGTGTGTACAATATTGTAGTCGATAAAATACAATAGAATCGTACTGCCTGAAACACTAGTAACGTTTGCTACGTTTACAATATCTACAGAAAAAACTCAACATCTGGATCTTTAAAGACAATTTATAAGAGTTTATTCCGAGATTTTTAAACTCATGAAAGCAAATTGCTTGCCTCTACATTGAACACTAAAACGATCAACGCTTTGATGTACATTATAATGGTTAGCAGAAATAAATAAATCAACTTATTTACCCGACTGATTTTTATCGTTAAAATACGTATAAATCACATTGTAAATCCACCATAGCCCAAAACAACTTGTAATCTTGAGCTTTTAACATGCGCACTTTACGTTTACATAAATTGCGCAAATAAGCTATTAACATCCATCCGAATCAAGTTATAAATCGAGATTTGTGCTAGCTTTATATAGCTCGGGCACAGAGTCATCCCAGTTCCAATATATCCGACGTTCTAAATTTTAGAATCCTTTATAGGAGGAACGGGTGGCACCCGCAGGTCGTGTTTTATTAGGTCTAAAGCCACTCGCGCTGCGCGGTCCTAGTGGCCTTAAACCTATACAAGAAAACACTACTGCCTGCTCGTTTAGTAAACAGTAGATAAACTTCACCTTGAGGCTTTTTCTGGAAGTTAAAACATAAGCTACTAGTAAAAGACTGTGTCGCTATAATCTTGGTCGTAACTGGTCGAGACTAGCTTTCCCTCCAAAATTCGCATAACCTTATGACAAATACCGTGTTCGATATTGCGTTTCTCAATAAGCCCCAGCTCCCATAACTCAATATCAAGCTTGTGTCATGGCAAATTAACAAAACTTTGTTTAATTCGTCATTGTTTTTAACATTGAACTGAGGGAGAGGGGGTGACAAAATCTATTTTGTCAATGTGCATTAACTTTGTATAATATTAGCTGGAATGGTCGTAAGGGTTATGCATATATTGTAGTCGTACCAATAGACAGCAGCAAATCTTCCCATCACCGAACGAGACGAAGGCAATTTTCTCCCTCTCCAGGAAAGAAAAGGGAAATTTGAACAAATGGCAAGAAAATTCGATCAAATTTATCTGATAGAGACCCCTCCAGAGAAAATCAAGCAAACCTTCCAGTGAACCCCAGAAATGGTCAGCATGCACCGTGCGCTTACGAGTTCACAGCAGCTGTATAGAGCAACATTCAGATTTTGCTTCCTTCCTTCCTTTTGGACGCAGCCTAGTCCCAGGCTCTCTCTCTCTATATATTCGCTGCTTTGATATATTTCAATAAGTCTTAAAAGTTTTATGCCTGGGTATGCTGTGCGGAACGCTTCAGCGAGAGCCTAGCAGATTTCGGTAAAATGGTCCCTGATTTCAAAAGAGTGGTCCCTGGCCTGGTTACCAAAAATACTGGATTTGTAAATAGAAAATGTTATGGAATTTTCCTTCGCGTTTATAATCAAGTCATTAGCTTCACTCTAATGCTGTCGGAACAATAAATAGGCTATGTTTCGCTACCATACGGTCAGAATGGAATAACGTTAACGGGCTAAATACGACTCGTGTTTACTAAAATATAAAGCTGTATTAGGCCTAACTGCTATCTAGAAGCTTGAATATTATGCCGTGTCTTCGACTAACAATGTTTTGACAACACAGTCATGTCAGGCAAATATTTCCAATCTCTTCAGCTACTTAAACCTGTCAAGTAGAAAGCGTAGTTTTGTATACCAGTATATGGTCGATCTAGTGTTGATCACAACTTGCGAGTATATAAATAACATCAACGATTATACGACCATTGCACAGACTCGGTATCGTAAATTTGTATATAACATTTTTTAATTGAGCACATTTTTAATACAGTTTGAATTTGGTTATGTAGACATCGAACATGATCAACGAACATTGTCGACATTTGTCGTATTTAAAAGGTTATTTGTATATAAATTATATATATTTCCCGCCATATTAAAAATACTGAAATCTGCCAGGCGTTCTGAAGCGGTGACGTCACACTTAGGTCCCAGTCTAGTACTACATCCACGTTTTTTCTCGCGCTTGCTTCAGAACGACTGGGACTAGGATGCTTTGGACGTACTTGATTCAGTTTTAATGATATTGTCTTACATTACGTCATGCACGTGCACAGATATCCTGCACCGGTATCCAAGGAAAGCGCTTCTTTGAAAAGAATACATATCAGTTTCCAGAACGTGAAACGAGGATAACTTTCAAGGTTTCAGTTAAATTATAAATACCATTCAACTGTCTAATTTAGCAAGTTATTAGCATGCGTAATCACAACGTTATAGCTAGTCATGCATTTACAAGTCACATATGCTGAAAAAATCGAAACCAAATCGAAAAAGAAAAATCCGAGAAAGACATTACTGTACATGCAGTTTTAAGTGTTCTTTCCAATGTGACAATATGTGAATTTTGGGGTTAAGAGCGCTTTAAAAAATTAGATATAGCTGGCATTCAAGCAATCTCATGAGACTTTAACATAAAAGCGGATGGAGGGCAAGTATAATGCGATTCTAATAAAATTCGTTTGTGTAAATTTTTTATTAACTTCAATACAGACAATTTGCTAATATTAAATATACATAAGAAGAAGCAGGCATATGCCATCCAAAAGCAAATACATATATGTATTGTTACATGAACTATTCAATGTTGAAGTACAAACTCACACATATATTAGTTACTTTATATAAAATGTCCACTTTTTACGATTGTTCCAAAATTCTTAACCGGCTGCCGAAGTATCACATGCTTCCTCGACAAGATTATTGACAATAAAATTTAAATATTCAAAAGCTGCTTCAAACATCAAAGGTGCAGCACTATCACTAGATCTGCTTGCCATTTCTCTCATTTTTTCACGAAATTTGTCAATTGTTTCTCTTTCTCCCATTCCCACGGTAATAACTTTCACTCCATCATCTTTCAGCTTCTTTGCTTGTTCAACTTGGTAGTCTTTGCCCTGTTTATCCGTAGCTTGCCCATCGGTGAAGAGCAGAAGGACGTTGGGAGCATCAGTGCGATCTTTCCCATTGAAAATCTGTGAATATTAAAATAGAATTTCTGATAATTGCATGCTGATAAGGAAGGCTTTTATCTCTGAGATCGCGAGTTTGATTCTCGCTTCCGAATCGTGGAAAAGAGTTCAACGCTCTGCCGAAAGTCGTGCGTTTTTCTTCGAGCGATCCAGTTTCTTCCCACATGGAATGTTGACATGGTAGGAGAAGGAAAGTAGTGTTGCAATTGTTGTAAAGATTAATAGTCTTGGCTAAGTAGGTGAAATACAGTTAATATATGAAGTAAGTGTAATACTCGATGTAATCGGTCACTCAAAAGTCCCGATGTGGTGCGAGCTGAATGTATGTATACATAATTGCTTTCACTTAACTCTATACTCTTTCCTTGAAATCTGTTGCATATCTTTGATCAAACATATTGCTTAGATTTATGACATATTAGTTTGACATACATGTATTGTTATGATTTATGTAATATTTCAATCCTAATACGAGAGCTAGCAAGGCATCAACGTCTGAGGAAGTTCCACCATTTGAAAGCATTCACATGCATGTTTCGATCGAAACGTGCACGTTTTCAGCCTGCATTGAATTGAGCGTGATGTGAACAATTGGGGGAAGCACCTTACAACATCATAATACCTAAAACTTTTTACCAAGGCTACTAAGCAGCTCAAGTAACTAATAATTGGAGATCTTGAGCACAGAGATCTTATGCACGATTTCTTGCCCCTTAAAGGAAGTGTATCCTGTATAGGATGGATTTTCGTTTAGTATTACAGAAAAGGCTCCTAGTTTTCTTTATCAAAGTGTATTAATATGCCTAGGTACTGAAAATGTTTCGTGTAATATTTTATTTACTGTACAAACCAGCATTATAAGAACTCATGTTAAGGTGAAGCTATAGTAGACAGACATGGTCCAAAAACCTTACCTCTTCTCTGCTTTTGCGTAACGCATCACCAGTGGCGGTTTGTGATCTAAGATATTCCATTTCCTCAACGCCTTGATTCACTTCCTGCAGCGTTTTCTTCTCTCCAAGACTGAATTCAATTCTTGTTTTAATTGGTTCACCAAACTGCATTAACGCTACTTGAGTCTTCTCAGGTCCAATATCAAATCTTGTATTGAGCTTCTGAATAAACTGTTTCACTTTTGCAAAATTTGCCTTTCGAACACTACCAGATCCATCAACGACTAGAAGAATATCAAGTTTGGTCTCCGTGCACTTTGCCTCTACAAAATATATTTAAGCAATTAATTGCGCCTGCATAAAAAAAAACTATTATCAAATTCGTTACAGCCTTTAATTTTTTTTAAACCACCGCGCAAATTAATTGGAAAGAAAATAGTCAAGTTTGCCGAGAGTTTTAGGTTCTGAACTGTTCTGTCTGCGAGAAGACAACTGTGCACAACCAACTGGGGCACCAGAAGCGGCGATCCGCTATAAGTTGTCTCTCAAATCTTTCAATTATGACCGTGAACAATAGAGAATATGGCACCAGTAGAAATTGCAAAGAAAAATGGCCATGCAGCTGAGTATTGATTACATGGCATTGTAGGTTCAGTTAAAATTTTTTGTATTCTTTTACTTTGATCTATTTTCAATAAAATAAGGCTCAAATTGTAAGTTTAAAGTGTTCTTAATTATTCTGGAAGCATCTAATATTGTTTTGGAGCCTTTAGACTTTTCTGAACTTCAACATTTTAGCAATAAATTAAAACTTTCCCTACTAAGATCTTGAAATAATATATTAGTTCGCCTTATTAATATCTAGTATACATCAGCATATAGTACAATCTACACACGTTCTGGAACGATGAGCTTGTTCTGGATCATATTAGCTCTCAATTTGTCCCTGCAATTTCTATCGTGTAGAAAGCGTCACTAAATAGTTGGTTTACTTAGACAAACCTTCACACGTTTTTCCCTCATAGATTCCAAAACATTTACATTGAAACGACTCCCCTTCGTTTGAACAAATTCCGTTGTTCTTGCATGGTGAAGAGTCGCATGACTTGGTTTTCAGTTCTGAAAAATAAGATAATATGAAATGAAACTTCTCTTATGAATTATGGCTGAAGGAAACAATGGCAAGACATTATGCAATATTTTTTTTATTCAACATGTTCGAGGTTTGACAACTTTTTAGATCCAAGACATCTTTTCCACTGTACTGTACCTTTACAGGTCTTCTCTTGGTAATCACATTTACATTCGCACGAGAACGAGGTTCCTTTGTTTGTACAAATACCATCGTTTTTGCAGGGAGAAGAATCACATGGTTGTGGCTTTAGTTCTAAAAATATCAAAGCAATAAATTTGATAACAAAATTGCAGTTTATTTCCGCGCCTTGAAAAACACGAACAAACATTATCTATAGTGTTTACCTAAAACCCATTTTGTGCAGCCTAGTAAAATATCTGCACACAACATGAACCTACTTCAAAGTTAAGGCCGTTATTAATCGGGACTAGTTGTAGTTCAACCTATCTTCGTACCTTCACATGTATCACCTTCGTACTCAGCTGTGCATTTGCACGAAAACGAGCCATCGTTCGAAGAAGAACATATTCCATTATTCTTGCATGGATGGGAATCGCATTGACCTACAGAAAAATTAAAAGAGCATACAAAAAACTAAATTATATATGCAAAGTTGCATGTCAGCCCAAGCTGTTTATAATATACGTACTGTAGGTATTTATTTGATTATATCGAGAATGTCGAGTTTTTCAAGTGAAAGTCACACTCCGAATCCCAATTATTATTCAGATTATATTTCTTAAAGTTGCCTGCTAATAATGTGTTCTGATATTAGTTTTCATGTGTGGGTTCCAATTTAAACAAGAAGATTTAAAAAATCATACTGCACTGTATATTCAAAGGAGTCGAAACGACCCCGAAGGGAGTCAGTCTTGGGTCACGTTGACCTCAGAACGAGTCCTTTTTATCTTGAATTTTTTTGAATTTATAGTGTGGGAAAGCTGGTATCACAGTGATTGGCAATGACAACATGTAGGCTACCTGAGATAATGTAGAACGATAATCAAGGACGAAAGTTACCATTAAATTCAAGATATTTACTATTACCAAGCAGTAACGATATACCAAAAAGTTGCTTCAAAAATAAATTTCCCCCAATGTCTATTGGAATGTTAACACATTGGTAATATTCTATATGCAATTATGTTCAACTTCTTTGTAATTGTTTGCAACTACATGTATATAGTTAAGTGACAGAGAATTACACTTTCGTGACACTTATATAGTGTATCTACAGCAGTACCTCTGCTTACACGATAGACTAGAGGAATGAACATGGAACAAAAGTTTTAGAACAAAAACATTTTTTTGAAAAATAACGACAACATCCAGCACTCAAGATTTCCACCGCTGTAAAACGTTGGACGTGCATTTGAATTATGGGATGTTTATGCACTGCGGAGCATAGCTTAGTCGACATTCTTTATTCTAAAAGTTATTACATAACTCATAGAAGTTTACAGACAGAGGGAGAAGAAATACTTTCCAGCAATTTCTAAAATTTTCCAACTTTTGTTTTTAGTTACCTTTGTTCAAGCAGTCTTTATCTTCAACGCACTTCATCGCTCCTTTGTTGCATGTACTGAAGATATATGAAGATGTATGAAGATATTCATCAGTTATATGACACATGGCGTTTAATTGTCTATATAATTGTACTTAGCCTAAGTATTTCAAAGGCGTGTTAAATTATGGTGGAAACGGTAGGTATATTGTCTAGATAGAAACCAGTCTTTCCTCTATATACCGTTGTAATTTACCAGTGTAATGAAAAACCAATGAGGCCACGTCAATCTCATTATCTAACTATCGCCTTATGTTTTATTATCTAATGTTTAAAACCCTCCAAAACGTATTAACTGATCACGAAGCACAACCGCGGTGGAAATGTCGGTTAGGGGTCACTCAAACCCACCCTGTCAACATTCTGTGGGGAGGAAGCCGTATCTGGTTTTTATATATCAGTGAATATCCTTACCAAGTTGTGCAGTCTCCGACGTCCACACTCTCTCCAGGTTTAAGAATCTTTCCTTCAAACTTGCATGGACATTGCACTGCAGATACACATTGTCCTGCGTTGTTCAAAAGTTTACCATCACGACACTGACATCCAGGAACACATTCTTCTTTGCATGCTAAATTGGCAGACAAATCACGACAGCTTCGAGCACACGACGAGCCGCATTCGGTCCAAATTTCATCAGAAATGGAGCACTGTTGTGCTGAAATTATAAGTAAAACATAGTTGAAATTGTTTTGTTACAATCTTTTCAGTGCCTCCATTAATCTGGAACAAAGTCAAAGCATATGCTGCTATGCATAAATTAAATCATTGGCGGCCGTAATTTCGGGCCCGCAGTAATTGGCAAACGCTGTTGCGGATTCCCAGCCACTGTAATATGTACAAGGCGAATTAAATAAATAAATAAATAAATAATAGTGCGATCATCAGTGGTCGTAATGCATATGAGGAATTCGTTACAGCTAAAATCGAGTTGACCGAAGTCAATGTCAATTTTGTGAGGTACCCGTCATATACCTTTGGCAATGTCGAACTCAATAAAAGCTATTAATTGAAAAGACCACTTCTTTTGAAGAATATCTGATTATTAACGTCTAAACAGACATGGTATTAAAATCAGCTTAATCCTTACCGCATTGTTGTAAAGGTGGAAAGAGATACGTTCCTGGGAATCTCCACTCAAGAATCACTGCATTATCACTACATTGTTGACTGTAGGCTGCGAACGACTTGCATACACATTGCATTGGATCATCACATTTACATGCGTCATATCGACAATCTTTCATCAACTGACTTGGATCAACAGCAGAATTACAAGGCGCAAATGGCGAGACTGACATGTTCATGTAGTTACACATATCCATATAGCATTTATTCTTACTCGCAGCTTCATGCTGGCAGACCAAACTACTAGGTGGTGGTACGCATTCCGGTTTCGTTTTCAGCACATCATCAGACCGATCACCATTAAAGTTGCCGCACAATCCACACATTTTACCATGATATTTTCCTGCAACGGTCACTCGTACAATAGTATGGCTGTTCCATCGAACCGTTAAACCAATGCTCGTTTGTAAACGTAACCATGTTCTTGACGGGTTCGTTATAACAAATCCTAAAAAATATAATTAATTAATCAAACTACATAGGAAGACAAAAAATATCCTGTGTTTCCGGTTTCATATCATGAAAAAAATTAGGTATGGTGTCATTGACATTAATGGTGAGTGTGATCAGCTAACATTGCCGCACAGGTAAGCACTTCAAATTAAGCCGCTATTTTTAGCGTGAAGTCATATTATGAAGCGAGCAACAAAATAAAGAGTGTTGGTGTGGAAACACAGGATGTCCAACTAACTAAAACACAGGAAATGCGATCATTTCTAATATAAACTTCACAAATCATATTCTGTAGTTAAATTACTATTAAAACAACACTATCACGTGCACAAGGCATACAAAGTAAGATACCTAGAAAGAAACATTGCTTAAATTCGTGTAACGACCGTCACAACTTTATCGAGGCTTGGACCCATAGATATCTTATATACACTAGATAGTGCATCTAATTATTCTGCAATTCAAAAATTGAAGCCGTGATTGCAGTCTCAGGTCGTTCCCATGAAATGAGAAGATTCGTATGTTTTCTATTTCTTAAACAGGATGTTTAAACATTAAGTTAACCCTATTCCAAATTCGTTTTTAAAATGTTCCAATGATGAAAGTTATTGTTGTTTTTAAGCGTTTATTAGCAAGTGGAAACGACCAACATGGCCGCCATCTATTCAAATGGGGGTAACCGCTGGAATACTCTTGGCTTCAATTTTGCTAAAAGAGATGCGCTATCTAGTGTATATAAGATATCTATGCTTGGACCACATAAATATCATCAATGTTTGGACTAGAGGAGTACTGCACCCTTTTTTCCAGTTTAAGAGGCCGAAGTTTTATGGTTAGATTTTGAACCTTTGTACAATTAGTATCCCTAAACGTATAACGTATAAGTACAGAGAGTTTTAAAAAATCCTCAGTGTTAATAACGAAAACGGTGGGATTTAGTGCAGTTCTTACTGCAAGTTGGACGTCGTAATTTTAATTGATGCTTCCTAGCCCAAGAAGAACGTGTCAAAACTACGCCTATTACTACTAAAATATCTTACTATTACATAGATTAACAGGTACAGTAATGTGTTTGTGTGATGTTACTCTGAGTGTATATCCACACCGGGCAGGCTTGAAAAATATGCCTGGCCACGGCGGGATTCGAACCTACGACCTTTGAAATACTAGCCCATTACACCAACACAGCAGGTACATTAATCTTAACACAATTTCTTCCGAACTTATTTAAGCTATTCTTAAACTGTCGATTTCACGACGTTAGGAATGTATAGTAGTACATTCGTGAATGTTTTGACGCAAAATGTCACACTCAAATATTTTAGTGATGTATGCCCTTGCTTTACAAATACTATAACTTCTGCCCAAAATTTAGAATTAAATCTGCAAACTGACCTGGACGTTTGATGGGAAACTTCTTTATTTTGATTCTGTTGATTATCACAGTTCGCACCTCCCTCGTTAGTCTAATTTCACTTCCATGTAAATACACCGTAACAGCAGCTGTACAAGTAGCTCCACGAACACCGCATTTAACATTCGTTGTAACTACCTTAAAAACCTTATCTTCACTGCAGTCTTCGGCAAAAACATAGCTGCATTGTCCTTGGAAGTTATACTTTCTCTTGTCAAAGGTGGTATAGTGAGGGTCGCCATGAGCTTCACACATTGCTAAATATGTAAGTCAAGTAAATCAAATAAATCAAGTTGCTGTGTTCATAACAAGTTCTAAATTATTAAACAGTGAGGATTTTTTCAATGTTAACTTAGTAAAGTGTGCGAACGGTTTTATACACAACCCTTTTCAAAATGAGTGGCTCGTATATACAAGCAGTTCTAACTCGCCATGCATGCGTACAGTTATTTTATAATCTTCACAGCGATAAGAAAACGTGTTACTACAATCTACCATTTTGATTCACTGCATGCAGGGATGAGCACGAGGCTCCAAGCCTTGCAGACATTTGGGACATAATTATAGAAAGGGTAATCTTTATTCAATGATTTATATAACTTGCCGTGCTTTTCTATTCGTGTCTTTCACCGCCAAAGCTATTGCCTTTGGAAATATATTAACCAACTATTTAACAGTCTATAATTATGAATTTTTTCTGTGTTGGTGTGTGTACACAGGTGAATATGATATTTGTGGTGTTACTCTGAGTGTATATCCACACCGGGCGAGCTTGAAAAATATGCCCGGACACAGTGGGATCCCACTGTGGCCGGGCATATTTTTCAAGCTCGCCCGGTGTGGATATACACTCAGAGTAACACCACAAATATCGGTATATAATTATGTTGCCTTGTTTGCATTCATATCTTGTTTGGGCAGTAACAACAAGAAAATCAGTCAACTATCTAACCATATACAACTTGCCTTGTTTGTATTCACATCTTGGGCCGCCAAACGTATTGTCTTTACAACGACAAGAAAATGCATTTCCCAGTGGTTCACATTTCCCAGCGTTTTGACATGGGTTTGGTTCGCAAGGATTTGGAGGTTCTAAAACGATGCAATTATGTTACTGCATGCATAATTATATTACTAGTACAAGTAATTTTTAACAAGAATGGAGCGAAAATATCAGACGGCTGTTTCGAATAGGAACAAAATAGTTTTGAACTGTAGCCGATCACAATTCTGCTGCATGCCTAAACCTTTCGGTACGAGCTTATTTGAGCTTTTCAAACTTTTTCCATTACTTAGAACAGGAGGATCACTCATCTAACGGTTCGTTGGACAACTTTTTATATAGCCAAAACATACTCAAACAGACAACATCCAAGTGTTTTAATATATTGTGCAACACCTCATTTAAATTCTGGTCATTTAATTGGCTGATTATGATCAAGGATATGGAATAAAAATCACCATTTTGCTGAGCGTGTATTGGAACTCATTTTGCACTATATGCTTTGTTCCATGAATAGCTCATGTAACCAAAATCTTCATAACGAAACCGATGGAATTAAATTCAATTACGTTATTGTACGAAACAAAATAGAGGGTGTAAAAATTACTAATATTTTCTACGACAATATTCAGTTATGAATGCCTTTATTACATTACATCTTTACTCAAACATTTTTTTTGGACATATTTTTTTCAATTTCTATTAATGTTAGACGTTGAGATGCAACTCAATTATGCATTCGTTTGGTATTTAATTCGATAAAAATCGATAAGATTGATTCGGTGAAAGATGTAATTTTCTATTCCACTTTGCTTCCTTCTTTCACCTCATGAATATGTATCACACCATTGCACTCATAGACATTCTTTATTTGTATATTGTTCATTGTACCTTTGTCACAAAGTTTTCCAATAAATCCAGGTGGGCATTTGCATGAAAACGTGGTTTCTGTATCAGTACAAGTAGCCGCGTTCTTGCAAGGCGACGAATCACAAGGCGTTGGCTTCTTTCCTGTAATATAAAGGTCATGGCTCCCAAGTGAGATTAAGTTAGCCCAGTTTAAACTAAAGGACCGACCTAAAGCAATTTGTTCTGTAGTGCGAGTATGTGACCGCACTAATGTAGTCGACTGACCAAAGACAGATCAATATATAGGATAAACACACAGTATAATACCATGAGTTCAGGCTACAGGAAAGGTAATCTAAAACTAAGGCTCTGGTTAGACCTAGGTAAGTCCCGGATCAACCATTTGACGTCTGGACTTCAAGACAAATTTCTATGCGAATAGAATTAAATTAAGAGCTCCGTTGTATACTCCAATGTAGTGTAAACACGTCATGCTTATAAGACCAATTATATTTATATTTAGGGATAAAACCCATAGATATCTTATAAATATATTATACACTAGATAGTGCATCTAATTATTCTGCAATTCAATTCTGCAACTCGTATGTTTTCTATTTCTTAAACAGGGAACTTAAACGTTAAGTTAAACCTATTCCAAATACATTTTCAAACTATTCAAATGATGAAAGGTTATTGTTGTTTTTTAAGCGTTTATTAGCGAGTTGAAAACTCCAACATCATGGCGCCATCTATTCAAATGGGGTAAGCGCTGGAATATTCTTGGCTTCAATTTTACTAAAAGAGATGCGCTATCTAGTTTATATAAGATATCTATGAGAAAACCATGTAATTTGGAATTGCTTTAAGCGGATTTTGTTCGAACGGTCTTCAGTGTCACTTGTGAAGTCAGTGATGTGAAGACAGTGATTTCAATTGGCTATTTTCACGTTTTTTATATTTAGATAATGCTAACCCTATGGGCTATATCCAATCCCTGGCCATAACGAGGAGTCGCGTTTTAACACATCTCCAAGCCTCGAACGCAAACTCACATCAACTATAGCAAACCTAATGGGGCAATCAAGTCTCACCAGAATTTTTACTACAGTATTTTGTCCATTATAGACTAACCTTCGCAAGTTTTTCCGTGATAAGAGCCAACACATTCACATGAGAATGAAGGTCCTTCGTTGGAACAAATTCCTTCATTTTTACAAGGCGACGAGACACATGGCTTCGGTTTTAGTTCTATACAACATATAAATAAGCGTAATTAGGTAATGATCTTACAGCTCATTAAAACTGCAACTAATACTCTGAATATTAATTTTGTAGAATTAGAATTACTTAAAGTCCCTATTATTAAAAAGATCATCAATATCTGGAATAATGTACATGGATGAAAATTAGTCTTAATATCTTTGATAATGAATTTGATAAGCATTTCCAGGGAAGTGGGATCTTGTGCATTATAAAGGGAGATCTAAGAAACTGATTTTAGCTTACTGTGTGCTACTCCCTCGCAAACATAAAGATTCCTTTAGGCTTCAATAATTGTTCAACACAGATAATTATACGAAGTAATTAGTTATTATAAACAAACTTTAACGAGACCTTTCTGAATATGGCCTTAAGGAATTTTACTACAGATATACAGTACCTTCACACGTCTCGCCTTGGTAATCTTCAGGACATTGACAAGAGAATGACGATCCTTGCTCGGTACAGACCCCTTCATTTTTACATGGGAACGATTCACATGGTCCTAGAGAATAAGGGTAAGTATACAATGTCATATAGCTTCAAAGTGGGTGTTAAACCAAGATTCACTGGGATATTACTTGCATGGAGGACACCAACGCAAGAACGTCGACCAAAAAACATACCAGTACACCTTCGAATACATTATTGTCATGTAATATGAATTGAATTAATCTATTCTATAGTTTGGGGAGATAAAGGCAGGGCCTTATGTTATACAGAGAAGATTTGTTGCACTTCTCGTGGCTTTATGCACTTCTCGTGGCTTTAAATGCAGGCGTTGTATATAAGACATCAAAATATATATATTTTGTCCTCGAAAACCGAGCGAGGAAGGAGTCCCAAACTACCGGTGGAATTTCAATTATTTGTTTCTTATTAATATATTATCAACTTCATTCTATTATACAATCTGTGGTTGTGAAGTTCCCGCTCGTCGTCATTAAAAGTCTAGGCCCCGTTATTTAATTTCCTATGTGCAATACATCAATTTTTACCAAATTATACCGTTGATTAAATTTAACGCCCCACCACAAGTTTGAACTTTTCACCTTTACTTTACTTTACCTACCTTTACTTGCGCAGTCTCTGTCATCTACACAAGCCATTGATCCACGGTTACAGGTGCTAAAATTAAAATATTCGATAAGCTATAAATAAGAACTTTATATTGCTAGCATAGAGAGAAAATCATTAGCAGGTGCAAGACTATGACATGCCAGACATTCATGCAGCTAGCTTCGGTAGTTGAGGCGGAATTTAGGAGCTTAAAAATTCCATATTTCTACGGTAAAATTTGAAAAATAATCCGCAAAATTTTCTAGAAAGTTCCCCAATTCGTTGAGCAGGAAACGAAAATTTGAACATTCCTCAAACAAAAATGAAAACTTCCCCATTCAAAAATTGCGTCTCATCTTCCTGTTCAGCTTTCTTGCGTCTGAGGTTATTATGGCCTTATTGCGAGGATAACAATGTTGGTTGAAACGTAGCTACGTTATTTGAATGTTTTCTATCAAGGCTTCTGGTTGTAGATGTAGAGAAAACATGTACAAATCGAGTTCACGAACACATGCATGGAATCACTTCAAGGGGCGAGTTTTCTAAGAACTCTCTAAACAATTGGGATTAAATAATGGCTGCTTAGTTTGGGAAATTTATTATATACAGCATCATGTAAAATGCGCTTCAAACATGCCAAGTATTTACGTTGCTTAATTTGAAAGAGCTTGAGTCATGAATTCGACTTTTTTTTTTAACTGAAGAAGGATCTCGATAGGGATTACGCAACATAAGCTGATAAAATATTACAGTACTGGGGCTATATACTATATTCTCTATAGGGCCATACCAGGTTTTACAGTTTCCAACATCAACATTTTCTCCTGCTTGAATTGTTTTCCCTTCATATTGGCAAGGACACTCAGCCACAGGGACACAACGTTTCTCATCATTAAGAAGTTCACCGTTAGGACATTGACATCCAGAGACACATTCCTCGTTGCACTTGATATTACGAGACAGATCCCGGCACGACCGCGCGCAAGACAACCCGCACTCCATGAATATTTCTCCCTCATTTTTACAATGTTGAGCTAAATTGAAAAATTCAGTTTTAGACCATCGGATTAAAAATTGTCATTAGGTGCCTTCACCAAATTCAAAGACGTGTTCGAACTTCACTATTGATATTTTAACCTGCATTTGCAGGCATACTTCAATGAAAATTGCTGCAATCAGGTAGAGCTATCAATCTTATATTTGTGTTATTTTTATGTTTCTCTAAAATTTTCTCACGAAGTACTTACCACACGCTTGTAACGGCGGATACAGGTACGTTCCTTGGAATCGCCAGTTTACAACTTTTCCGTAGGTAGCACATTGCTTGGAATACGTCGCAAGCGAGGAGCAAACACATTGCATTGGATCTTGACATCTGCACGCATCATATTTACAATTGGCAATCAACTCAGTCGGGTCAATAACACCATTGCACGTTTTGAATGGCGATTCTTGATAATTTATTAAATGACATTTGTCAACAGTTGGCCTGTTTTCTGCAGTTGGGAAGCAAACCAGCTCTTCGGGAGGCGGTGCGCATTTTCTATCAAATTGATTGTCATCCCTCCAATTTCCATTATTGTTTCCACAAAGAGATGATGGACAAAGTTTGTTTTTGTATCTGCCCGACACAGTCACTTTGATGTTCATATTACAATCCCAGGTAACAGTTAAGCCAATGTTTGCAGTGAGGGATAGTGAACGTAGGTTTGGGTTGATGATAGTGAATCCTATAAAACAGAAAATGTAAAATCGTTAAACAATATTTAATTTAAGATAACAACGGAACCTTTTACAACAGAGAGATAAATATTACTAAATATTTAGCGTTTCTTAGTTCTCTTCGGGGTCTTCTGTTTAGCCCGAGTATCGGGCTCTATTTCACAAATGGCCATGCATGGTTTAAGGTTTGTGTCAGGCTGTAAATAGAGTCTGACACAAACCTTAATTCGACTGATTGCTTTCCACGCGCAGTAAAGTTTATATTTATAGTATTAGTATCCAATCAAAATTCTCCAGAAGAGATGCCAATTTCACACAATCTAACAACGACAATCAATTATAGTGAATCCGACTACTAAGTATATCACAAATAACTGTACAATCTAATATTACCACTAACCATTAAAATGATAGATTCATTTTTGATTCTGTCATGACCAAGCACATGAAATGCCGGATTTTGGCTTTTTAAGTGCGGCCATTTGTGTCAGGTTTTTATATCATTGATCTGATCTGGCCATGGTTAATGGATGCTAATTGACAATTTGCTCCAAATGGTATTTACTTAACCTTTCCTTTGTCTTCAGGTGGGGTAATGTTTTTCTTTGCCTACGTCTACAATACACTATAATTCCGTAACGGTATTATGTAGTCAGGTCGCTTGGTGCTCAGATTTATACAAGGTGGATAAAACTCCCACTTTTTTCGGACCTTCAACTACTGTAGTGATTTCGGACGTTGGAATTCTGAATTTGATTAATTTGATATCTTCCACTAATTTTATCAATATTTCGACAAGTAAAATACATAAATATCAGTAAAATACATATAGGCCTACGGATTTATTTGGAGTAAATATGTTTGCCCTCTGCTGATTAGATTCCATGCATGCTGTCTTGAGACATTATAGACCCTGAACTTGCAAGGCAATACTATATTCTCGTTGAACTCACCTGGTCTAACAATTGGAAAGTTGGTATACTTTACTCTATTTATAATTGCCGTACGTTTTACTCTGCTGAATTGTATTTTATAACCAGCAAGAATCACCGTGACAGATGCAGTACACGAGGCACCACCCCAACCGCACGCTCGATTCTTTGTGTACACTGTAAACAGTTTGCTCTCGCTGCAATCTTGAGCAAAGACATATTGGCATTTTCCCATAAAGTTGAACTTTTTCCTATCAAAACTCGTGTAATGCGGATCACCTTGCGCGTAACACGAGGCTAGAAATGGAATAAAACACGTCTGTGTTAGCAACATGAAGAAAAACAAATTCATAGATTCTTCCAAAAATTCAACTTATAAACTCAGCGATCAGCAAATTGCAGATTCGCATTTGTGAGAAAGTATGTGCCGGGTTTTTTAAAAGATTACACTACAGAAGCCAATCCAATAGGTACTGTAATCAATAGGAAACACACTGTACACAAAAGTTCTACACCTCACAAAAAGAACTCACAACTCTCTCATAATAAAATCCTAGTATTTAGTACTAATCGAGATTTTAGGGCATCTGGTTCGATAGAACACTATTGTAGTAGATAGGATTTTTGTAGAACGAATATTCGAAAGCAAATGTATATAAATTTTTAGACCTAAGCAGATCGAGCAATGCAACTATAGTCCCCCTGTAGCAGGAATCGAACCTAGTGGTCCTGTATCGGAGTTTTTACAATTGTTGAATACAAGAAAAGTTGATAACAAGGAGCACAAATAGTTGCACGTACAGTACATCTTTCTGGTTATTGAAACTAACGCTTTGTTAAACTTACATTGACTATATTCACAATGAGTGCCACCAAATTCAGGTCGACATCTGCACGAGTATCCATTGCCAAGAGGGATACAAACGCCGCCGTTTTTACAAGGTGCGTTTCTGCATGGATCTGGGAGTTCTGAAAATAAAACCAAATTGAGGAGCACATTATATTATGGAGTTAACTGTGGGCTACTAACTTCTTCAACACCGAAGGATAGGCAATTTTTATTAAAAGAACGTGTGGTGATCTTAAAAATGGTAGATCTTTTACCCTTATAATTAAATAAAAAATTTTCAATTCCTTATTACCATTATTCTAGACGTGAGAATAAAATGTGCTAAGAATCGTATGACTAAAACCAGAAGAATTTCGCTTTACCTGTTTCGCATGTAGCTCCAATAAAGTTAGGAGGACATTTACATGAAAATTTCTTTCCCTGGTCAATACACGTGGCACCATTTCTGCAGGGAGAGGGTTGGCACGGAGGACCAGATTCTAAAATGAACAAAAGAGAGACAGATATATATATATAGGTTATTTAATTTCTTGACGTTTGCACCAGGTCAACTGAGGCGTTCACTTTGACTCGATCATGTTTTTCAATCCTATCCACGTACGAGTGCGCGCATAAGCGCATTGTCTATCACTTATCCTGTTTCTTCAATAGTTCTTATTTATACGTACCTTCACACGTAACGCCTTGATAATTACCAACACATTCGCATGAAAACGAATCTCCTACATTCGTACAAATTCCATCATTCTTGCAAGGCTGCGAATCGCATGGCTTGGGCTTCAGTGCTAAAAGATAATTACAGGTATCATGTCATTGTCTCCATCAGGGGTGATCTGAAATCGCATCGTGGCTTCTTATATACAAGTGTACACGAAAGATAACGCCATCTACTAACAACGTGAGGATACTTGAAACAAAATGCGAAAATCTGTTGATATTAATTATAAATCTGGTTCCAAACTTTAATTGAAAGGCTTGTTTCATCAGGCGTTAACCATGGTCGAATTGCATGGGTTCTAGTTTTGGTAAAGATTGCAACGACTTTAAAGCATTGCAGCATGTAGCGTATCTTAATTTATGAAGCTGCAATTAACGTTTATGCACTTAATATTTAGTACTGACACTTAATTCAATCTTTCCAGGCAAGTTCGAACACGCGACAATTATTATTGCAGGTTGCAGTCGATGTAACGCGTCATGCAACGCTAAACCAAGATCGTCTATCCCATAATTCCGATATACACCGTGTAACAGCTCCTTAAATTTTTTTCGTTATTGTACGATTACCAATGAAAATGAAATTGAAAATACGATAATTGGAGATACGGGAAAATATCTAAATAAACGATTTGGTTTGTCCTGGGCGTCAATTAGATACATGGCGTTTACAAGAGAGTGGGCGTATATACCACCAGGTCATTTACAGTATGAAAGGAATTACCTTCGCATGTTTCCCCTTGATAGTCTCCAGAACATTGACATGAGAATGTTTCTCCTTTTTCTGTACAAATACCCCCGTTTTTACATGGAAAAGACTCACAAGGTCCTTAAAAATAGAAAGTAGATTAGCTAAAATCAGTGGCCAATGCTATTTTTTATTTCCGTGTACAGTATCCTTTTAAATAGTATTTGACAGCAGGTTTTATTCGGACAAAATTATTAAACTGTTTTCATTGATATTGTGCGATTTTTATGGGTCTATTTGTTACGTACAAGGGATGTTCCTTTGTATCGATCATTATATTCAATCTCGCAATCACCAGAAATTTAATCCTCTTACATGGTAACTGCAAAAACACCGAATTTACTGTTTCGCTCAAATTGATTTGACTGTTTTAACGTAATGTTCTGACTATACGCGTAACATTGTTAGGTAAACGGATTAAATCGGTCGATATAATATTTCGCACGGTGTCACGAGCTCTATTAAATTTTTGACTCTTTCAACTTATCGAGGTTTACAAATTGCGCGATTCCAGTGCGTTTTTCATGGCATGAAGCACCCGCATAATTCAGCCCTGTTCTTTAACGTGCAGGTCACGACGAAGCGATTCAAGCGAAGACGATTTACAACAGTGAGAAGAAGGTATTTCTGGGTAATTGCACGACCACCAGCCAACAGTCATATATCTAACCTTTACTGCCGCACTCTCTGTCATCTACACATGCCATAGCACCAGCGTTACACGTGCTGCAAGAGAAAGAACATTTTTATCCATTACTCTGAATAATTATGAATTATCAAACAATCATTCTGGTCCTCGTCTACTTTATACTGTACTCATCTACGTATGCGCTTATTACAGTAACTGCGCTATATTTTCACCTCGAGTTTTATTTCTTTGTGTATATGTTTGTTTGTTTGATTCTAATTACAGGATAAAAAATCAATTTTGGTACAATTTCGATAAAAATTAAATGTTTGGGTTTTTTCTCGGTGCCGACGCAGAATGCATGCATGCGTTCAAAATGCATGTAAATCTTATATAAAATATGTGAAGACTCATCAAGGGGGTTCTCTTCTAAATTATGTATAAAGGAAACAACAGTTACCAAAAGACAGATACGAGAAAGGAAACACAGTACGAGAAACGACAAGTGTATCCGAATAAAACATCGAGCTATGGACAATTCTTTTAATTATACAGATTCATTCAATATGCATGAGTTTAAGATTTTCATGGTCACTGTACCATAGCTAGCCATGATTGATCACAAACTTGTACAGCAGTGGTAAGAAGTTTGCTACATTGCATGAGCAATACGTGTAAATTTCGCATGTATACTTGCGGAGATGTATATAGTGTCTGAATGCCCTCCAGTTTTTATGTACAGTAGCTATCTCTCAACACACCAAGAACTAGTACGTTTCATACCATGTTTTACAATTTCCAATTGCTATACTCTGACCAGGTTGGTACACAACTCCTTGGAACAAGCAGGTACATTCTGTCACAGGAACACAGAGACTGTCATCATCAAGGACTTGATTTTTAGGACACTGGCATCCTGGAACACATTCTTCGTTACATTGAGAATCACTGGATAAATCTCGACAGGTTTTGGCGCAAGAAGAACCACACTCGGCAAATATTTCTCCCGGATTTTTACATTGTTTTGCTGAAAAGAAATATGATATTAATTAATCAACTTTCTCGATGCAGCAATCATCAACATTTTTGTTATAATAGTATCTCAAGGCATTTGGTACTATTTAATGGCTACTACATTTTATGAGGAAAACAGCATACGCAAAATTTTTTTAAGACCATTCTAATATTAATTAAAACAAGTCGAGGTAACAATGAACTACTACATTATCAATAGGCTATTACCGCACGTATAATGATCATTCTTCTTTGAATTCTAAAATTTAATCTTGGGAATATATAGATTGTATTTATCTCCAACACTTGAAGATTATGAAGTTTGAAAGATCATGCATGCATGCATGCATGCATGCATGTATACTATACTATTTCTTGGGTGTCAATACTTTGATCCTGTTATCATAGTTCATACGAAAGTACTTATCAATTCTTAATTCCATCTTTTTGGTTTTGATGATATTTTGACTCGAAGCGCTATATGTAGTTCGCCATATGTTATTTTATATTGGATTAGCTAATTATAGCTGGTGTGGTGACCTCACAATAAGGGTAAACCGGTTTAAACTACTGCGTGGGTAACTGAATTTTGACAAGCAAGACCTATTATAGTCCTATTCTAGCAAAAAGATCTTATTTCGCCTGAATGGTGGCAGGAATTTGTAGGTGAAGTAGTATAGCAGAACCTTTATTGAAAGGTAATTATATGATATAGTACTTACCACATTCTTTTAGAGGTTCGTACAAGTAAGTTCCTTTAAATCTCCAGTCCATGATTGCCCCATATCCAGCACACTGTTTACTGTACGTTGCAAACGAAGCGCAAACGCATTGCATAGGATTTGTACACCGACACGCATCATATTTACAATCACTGATCAACGTCGTTGGATCTACCAATTTGTTACAGAGGCTAAATGGTGAGCTTGCACTATTCATCAAATGACATTTGTTTATGATCGGTTGGGTTACAATATCTGGTATGCATGATTCCGGAGGAGGGGCGCACGCGCGTCTGTATTGGTTGTCATCGCGTCTGTTGCCATTATTGTTGCCACATAAAGATGAAGGACAAATCTTTCCTTTGAATTTGCCAGACACTGCTACCTTAATTGCCATGCTGGTGTCCCAGGATACAGTTAAACCTATATCTGTAGTCAACGTCAGCCACTTCACACTTGGGTTAATTATCTTAAATCCTAAAGTAATAACATATATCGGTTAAGCACCTAAATGCAGAAAAGATATCACTTTACGGTGAGGACAGTGGATATTACCAAGAGAAAGTCCTGGTCGCGTTAAACGAGGATGAAAGGTAACGACAGTTGCAACTCTTGCTCCTGCATTTTCGTTTGATAGGAGCTCAAATTAAATATGGAGGGAGCAATTAATTTTTTCACTCGAGAGGATCATGCTACAATACAACATGTATAGTTTTTTGTTCCGTGACAACGGAGATATACATAATAGTATGTCATTTCTGATGCAGTTTATAATGCTACACGTATATTCATTTCAACGCAATTATAAGTGTGATATATTTTGGGTAATTTGGGACATCTTGGCTACAGACCCCGTTTCGCAATTGAGCCATTGGGCTTTAACCAATCTCATATACACGAAAACGGGGCTCTACAGCTAAGATGACGTATATTCCGGAAGCCGGAAGGATGTACATACTACCATATTTCAAGCAATCAAACAGTTAGTGCACTGAGTCGGAAATATAAATAATAGAATAGTTATTAATAAGTGCTAGTTTCGTCAGAACAAGTCTCTTGCTATGTAAATTGAAAGAGGCAGCTTTCCTTTTCTGATGCTTGTGAACTCATTGGTTAATCACAGTAAGATTTAAGAAGAGAAATCGCCAATCACTTATATTCCATTGAAACAAATACAGTTGTACGTGTCTTTTCTAACATGTCAGCCACACCACAGTATATTTGTGGTAGTCACGCCTGTGGATCTGTTGATACAAAGGAGATGCGCTATCCAATTCTATATATTTTCAGATACATTCTGCGTTTCGTATACACTCTCATTCCATGCATACACTCTCATTTCAACTACGGTAGCTTGAATACAAGTGATCTTACCGGGTCGAATTATCGGAAACGTGGTGAATTTCACTCCGTTTACTATGGCCGTTCGGCGCGCTCTTGTAAAGTGGATGTAATAACCAGCGATGTAAATCTTTGCAGCAGCTGTGCATGAAACCCGAGATCCGCATCTTTGGTTTATCGTACGCACGCTGAACAGTTTACTACTGCTGCAATCCTTAGCAAAATCATATTCACATGTTCCCATGAAGTTAAACGTTAGCCCGTCAAATGATCTGTAATGTGGATCTCCAGTGGCCCAGCACAAAGCTATCAACATAAATTGTAATAACAGTAAACATTGATGGTATCGTCCAACTTTATCGATGAAGTTGGATGATCCTGATTGATGAAATTGGACGAAACATTTTTAATCAAAGCAAACCCGATCCAACAAGTATATGATAGTATATGATGGTCATTTCCGACAAAAACGCGCAACTATCGTAGTCTACGTTTTACTGGGATTTCAGGACATTTTCCGGATTTGTGAGGATTTTTCGAGATTTTTTAGATTAGATTTTAGATTTTTTTAGGCTTTATGGGAATTTTTGGAGGTTTTTATTAGGGAGTTTTCCGAGGGTTACGGATATTTTTTTTAACAGTACTCCCCTCGACTACATCAGCTTACAGATGTTACACATGCAAAGGAAGTTATACAGTAATTTATTTAGAATATGCTGTACTATATTGTTAATTCAAATTCCTTTGAAGTCGGTAATATTGTCGAGGTATGTATTGATTAAAGGAATTACCAAGTTATGTTGAATTTACATATATTGAAATTTGCAACAAGTGAAATAATAATGCAATGCACTGCATATAACATTCCTCTTTAGAGTCCTATAAATAATTACATGACAAATATTGACAGAACAAGTGTCCAGAATCATATAGCATGAACTTTGGATTCAACATCGATCTACTAACATGAACCGCAACATTACCATTCACGATGGTCGGCCCAACCATGTTGGATGACGCGTAAAGACATTGCAATACTTACATTGGCCGTGTTCACAGTTTACCCCACCAAATTCTGGTTTACATCGACAAGAATAGCGGTTGCCCAAAACGACACACTCTCCTCCATTTTGACATGGTCTTGGTTTGCATGGGTTTGGAAGTTCTATAAATATACATTCGGTTGTCAATGCTTTGCGCAAATATGCTACTGCAGTCAACTAGACACATACATGGGGAATGTCCTCAATTTTTGCATGAATATAGTTATTTTTTATCCTGCCCAAAGTTATAATCCAATCGATATCCCTATTGTCCACAACACGCGAGTGTGTAAATATTTACAATTCTTTTCTAAACGTTTATGGCCAAGTTGGCCCCCTGCATGAAATTGCTAAGATATAGTAGTGGAAACCTGAATTTATTGGCAGCACACTACTCAATGCTTCCTCAATGTTTGAGCTATAATTTCTAACTATACTCATGAATTTAATAAGGCATTTCACAAATATTTGCACCTTGTTAGGTGCACTATGTACACTAATTCGATCAATAATAAACACTAACTCAGATTAAGCAAAATTTGGCTAAACTTGTAAGATCTTTTTCTGCTCTATTTGAATTTATATGTATGTAGAGAAGAGAACGGATATACATACACACTGCACACAGCTTAGCTTTACCTGTATCACACGTAAGACCAATGAAGTATGGTCGACACTTGCAAGAAAACGACTTTCCTTCGTTTGTGCATTCTGCGTTATTTTTGCAGGGCGAGGAGTCGCACGGCTCGGGCTCTAAGTTGAGAATACAAAAAAATTAGTACACTGAAAATTATATGTTAATTTGCCTGGAGATTCAAGCTATCAGGGCTTTAAACATACAGTAAGTCAGCGGCCGCCATGAGGTTTACCGCAGATTGCTTTGTTTAGTACTTACATATCAATTCTCTGCTTTCTCCCCTCTAAGCTTTCAAACAAAGTTACCTGGTCTACTTTATAGCCTATTTATCAGTTCGAAAACGATATGCTAGTATTCGTAAAAACTGATGAAGTTATTCGCCATCTTAAATCTTGAAGCTACATCTTGTTGAAGAATGAGAGTACAAAGCTCATTTGTGTTGCTATTTAATCAATATGCTCTTGTCTGGTTAATCTGAATAACTTTAAGACTCCCTGGACCGCTCCCCACAGGCGCTGCTTTTTTACATATCTACAAAAATTTGGCCAATTGGCCACAATGTCCTGCCGTGGGTAAGTGTGGGTGCATCCAATATAAACTCTACGTCAAAGATACACCAATATTAACTATAGATTGTATTGTAATTTTTGTACTTTTTTCATAGGTAAATGAGACACAGGGCAGGGGGAAGTGGCAACTGTCCCCCGTAAAACGAACTTTAGAAAATTGGGCAAATTTATCAAAAATATTTTAATTCCTGTTACTTCATTACAATCTTCAATAAAAATTCGGCCAAACGTTCGACTGCCCTCGGAAAGCATCAGCCCCGTACGCCCATGATCTTTTCCGAGAGGGGGAGGGGGGCAGCATCCTTTAACATTTCTAAAGATAAATATTACAATTACAGCATACCTCTATAGCAACCATATACTTCAATTCTCATGGATATGTGGCCGTACCAAGACTTTGGATGTATACGAACATAACGGGCAGATATCGAAGGAGAGAAGATGTTCTTTAGAACAGAATTTCTGTTAATATTTCCATTAAATATCTGAAAGAAAGTATTAAAACAATTGACTTTTAAGTATAGGAAATTGCGGCCCTAAATTGTCACCTAAAATGAAAAATTCGTCTTAATTTAATAAACGAAATATAAATGATATATATTTCTTAAACTTGGGTAAGTTTTCTTATAAAAACAATCTTCTTCCACAAAGCTTTAGCGATTTCGTTTTAACTGTTGATCAAATCCGCACTCGCAATTTACGTAGTGCCGGTCAATTCTCTATCCCATTTTGTAGAACTAAGACAAAACAGTTCACTGTACGTTACATAACCAACGTCTTAAATTTCTTAATTCGGCCCTAATATTCGTAACACATCTACAGTCTTATATCCTTTCAGTCCAAACATAAGAATTACCTCTTTGTCTCGCTTTGGTCTTATTTATATTCATATTGACTTTAATCAGACATTTTCATTACTAATGAGTAATGTGTATTGTATTATCCAATGACAATGTATTTATTTGTTTTCTCATTTCATGCGCTGCTCTAATTTTTGTAAATATTTTTTCTTATTTAAAACTTCACGGGGTAACCCAAAATCTAATAAGCCATTAATATGGTTTCTATTTGGTTTCCCTCGTCACATTTTTCTATTTGTCTTAGTTCTATATAATTTTTTTTTGTAATTTGTGGCAAATGTATTAAATCAAATAAAAAAGCATACGTATACTGTAAGTACTGTACATACTCAGCCTCGTAACTTGCCTTAACGATTCCATTTAAAGACTTGGAGGAGTCGAAACATTTCCCATGCAATCGACGAACATTATTAAGTTGATTAACATTCGCATTCGAAGAAATCAGAAACCTAGTTTTTGTATCCAAATGCCTATTTAATAATATTGCATACATATAATATTGCCACACTTGCCACAATATTTTGATTTCGATGATGAAGAGAAAGCAGATGGCTTGTTTGTACTGTAGCCCACAACCTTTAAACTGCTCTACTGCAGGAAATCTCACCTTTGCAACACCACTAATTTTGTAAGACTCAAAAGTATTTCCATCCAAACTGTAAGACACCGAATACGTTTTCACCCATTGGTTATAATTACTTCGACCTTGTGTGGCAATCGCCGTGATAACTTCCTTTCTCCCAAGATCAACTTGAATCCACTGATTCTGATCATTTCGACGTGCAGACCAGGAGCCTACACCATTCAATCGTCCTTTTTGGGTTGACAATGCTGTACTCCAAAAACTTGATGATGTCATCTGCGAATTTAGAATTTTTCCTGTTTCTACTCCAAATGCCACCTCGTGTGTACTGCAAGGACTTGCGTATTCTAGAAAATGTTCATGAATAATTACGTATTATTGTTGGGTCACATATTTATAGTCTTTTTGCTGCAAAAAGAGTTATTTCATTGTTCTTTATAAGTAAAGTCCAGCTTTATAATAGCAGTCAATACTAGTAGATCAGTGAACCGTTCGTATACTGCAGGTTACCGACCGCTCTGGAACCAATCAAGTTCATGCTGCATTTGGACCACAACAGATATGCCACGACTGTAGATTGTATCGGAAGGACAAGAACTAATTTATTAACATACGACAGACTATCTATCTGATGATCTGTGTTGCCGAGATTTGTACAGTGAAGGAAGAACACGCAAAGACATTGAAGTTGGAAAGATGAGATTTATGACAAATATCAGAGAAGTAGCAAAACAAAAGAGAATATGGAAAAGGAAAGTGTAAGGAATGTTGAATTAAAGTGAGATATGGTACAGCCACGTGAAGACAATTCACAAAATGGATTAACTGGACACCAGGGACAATGAGCATTGTGGAATGGTAGACTTGTTATTCTGAAAAGAAAAGTACGGAGAAACATAGCAAAGCGAACCTACTCTCTCGAAGGGACAAACGAGGAGATCACTTTCAAGGCCATATCAAACAAAGAAAATAGCGAGCTTACGCTTGGAGGTCGCCAAAGCAAGAACAACGGCTATCAACAATGAAACGCATAATGTATCACAGAAGAAATGAATAACTGAAAGTCTCAACGGAGTTTCATGATCAAATGTAGTCCATTCGCATTTGACAATGGCAAAATATATTTTCACGTGTGTTATAGTACGTTGTCATTCAATCCATAACTGCCGTTAATTAAATTAAACCTTTCATAGGTTATTTCTATATATCACCAATTAAGTATTAGCAAAAATTGTATATAGGTTTGTCTGCGCCAGGTAATGCAAGTCCGTGGTGGAGGTTTTTCTGGGATTTTCGCTAACAAGTTAAATTGTTACCTTCGCATGTCTTTCCTTTGAAACTACCAACACACGTGCATGAAAATGAATCTCCTTTGTTTTCACAGACTCCCTCATTTTTACAAGGCTGGGAATCGCATGGCTCAGGGGCTAAAAATACAACATTTTGCTAATTGAGCTCTTGCAAGTAAACCGTTACATTTGTGGACTTATATATATATAATTGCTTTTGTTTGAGCAATTTGAAGAGTTACAATGGTCCACAGTTGTGTACGATGGTCGGTTGAATAAAAGATTTTCCCACCCAAAATCGCGGATTATTCTTGATGATACGTCATACTCACCTGAATTGAGCTCATTCTGGTCGTCAAAGATAACACCACTTATCGTAGAAGATAAGACAATCCTATTACTTATACTTTAATTAATAGCCCAATTTACTTAATTCGATTGCTTTTTAGTTCATATGCGCTGTACATTGATGATGATGACATTTCTACTCACTATTGATCATTTTTCAAACAAAAACGCCAGACTGTTGCGCGAGTTGTGTAGTAAATAACAATTGAACTGATAGGGGATGTTATTGAATTTTGATATGAACAAAAATTTAAATTTTTCGATGGTATATAAGTCGATTAAATAACTAAATATATAATAACCATAATAAAATACCTCTATAGCAACCATATACTTCAATTCTCATGGATATATGACTATTCCAAGACAATGGTTGTATTCGGATATAACCGGCAGTTATTGCTGGCGATACGACATTCTTGATAATGGTATTCCTGTCACTATTTCCATTGAATATCTATACAAAAAAAATTATGAAAATAAGTATTTATTGCTCCACGTTCTTCCAAGGAATTCTAATTTGTTCAATCTGTTTTGCTTATAATTGATCAACTTTTATTCACTTTCTGTACACCACATGTGACGATAACAGACTTATGACCAAATTATGCACATCAACACAAATTTTATACAAATCTCTTTTCCATAATATTCTTTTTTCTTAGCTGGAATTAAAATTTGACGCAAAAATTTGAATATTGCAGCGTGCATGGTATACCGTTCATGAGAAATCAGGTCAGTTTCTTCAATAAAAACTCAGTTATTAGTTTATTAAATTGTCACACACTTGTCACATAAAATGACCGAAACGATGTATGCTTCCCCTCGTACGAAAAGACGTGTCTCAAATCTTTTTGTCTCAAAACTTTCAGGTAATTATGAGCTCTTTCAGCGTAATTTGACGTGGAACAAGCATCCGCGGTTTTGCCAGTAAAACGATGATCAGGACAAGCAGATCTTCTTTGTAATGTACAACCTTATCTAGAATTATATACATGCATGAAGGCACCCCTCACCTAGATTTTCAAACATTGATTCAACATGGAGCATTATAGTAATTGGCTAACATGCACTGAGCTCAGACTTGTCTGTTGCCATAGCAGCACGGTCATTTTTTAATTTTTTGTACGAAATGGAAAACATTAAAATAGGCTCAAAATTATGGATTGCTTGCCAGGAGTGGGATAAGAAATATTAATTTTCAAAATTTATATTCGGAAAATTTTGTTTTGGAGAAATAAAATAATTCAATATGCGGCATAGTGAAATACAGGGCGAGTTTGCTTTGAATGTTTAATTTTTATAAATTTTATTGTTTCAATTCTTTGCGCAAAACTTGCACTGCTTTCCTTTCAATTGGTATAGCTGTACGTCTCTCTGTTAAATGTAATTAAGAAAATATAAAGCAGAGCAAATTAATTTCAACGCCAAACAATAATTTTGGATTTTTTTGCTTTTATTATTATTATGTTTTATTCATTATCTTTGCCATTTTTGTACAAAAATTATAATTATTTACTATTTTAAAAATGATTATGTTGCTATGGAACTCTTGACTTGGTCATTATTTAAGTTTTTTCTTAAAATAAAAAATGGTAATTTTACAGTTTTATGCAACAAAATTCAATAATTCAACAAAATTCAATAAAGATTAAACATTCAAAGCAAACTTGCCCAATATTTTACGATTTCCGATCGTATATAAATTTTTATTTCTTCAAAGCAAAATTGCTTGAAATCCAACTGTATGATACGATTTTCCAAATATATGTTTTTGAAAGTTGAAATGTTGCTTATCCCATACCTGGATAACACCCATATTTTTAAGATCAGTGAGGAGGTCCACACACGCACCACGACATCATTTCATACTTCGATAATGATTTCCTTTCCACTAGTGTAAATAGTACACTATCCTACTTACGCCCGGAAAGGTACTTTGCACCATTGGCACAAGGAAAATGCTCTCCTGCAACAATTCTCACCTTCACAACACCATCAATTTTGTAAGACTCAAATGTTTTTCCAGCCAAACTGTAAGACACAGAATACGTCTTCACCCATTGGTTATAATTACTTCGTCCTTGAGTGGCAATCGCTGTTACAACTTCCTCTTCTCCAAGATTGACTTGAATCCACTGATTTTGATCATTTTGACGTGCTGACCAGGAGCCTGCACCATATAATCGTCCTTTTTGAGTTGACAATGCTGCACTCCAAAAGCTTGATGATGTCATCTGCAAATCTGTGATTTTTCCAGTTTCAACTCCAAGTGCCACCTCGCCAAACTTGCAAGGACTTTCAATTTCTAGAATTGAATCGTAAAAAAGCTAAAACGTTGCAGTCCAGAAAGAGCATTAAATCAGAACAACATTCGAGATTTGCTCCCACAACGTGAAGGGGTATTGTATTTGTATGTCTTGCCTTTTGAATCCAGTGGTCAGCGCCGTCCCGACTGGGTATGTGGGGTGTAACACCACAAAGAAAGGTCAAGGAAGGGGCCCCAATTTCTCCAGACGGGCCACCAAACTGCTGGAATTGCGGAACGTGTTCAATTGTAAGGAATATTGTGAAAAATTGAGGTCGCAAAATTCTGAAAAACGTATTTTTAACCCCCTCTTATCCAAAAAGGTTTGGAAAATACTTTTGTGGGACATTTTACTTTTACAGGAAAACCTTAAACCCCCCCCCCCCCTTGACAAGATTACTGCGAGACTTGTCTAAATAGTGAATTTAAAAACGTACCTCTTTGGCAACCATAAACTTCGAATCTCATGGATATGTGACCATACCATGTCTCAGGGTGTATGCGGATATAACGCGCCTTAACAGGTGGTGACAAGACATTAAACACAATAGATCCTCTGTCTGTATTTCCATTGAACACCTGTGCATAAAAATAGTTCAGTTATACAGTAGATCCCTTTGAACAATGGCTTAGTGATTGCCGCGATGTCTTTACAGAATTGCAAGATTTATCCTCATTTAAAAATGAAATTTCGAAATGAAAAAAATAAATTGAAATGAAATTTCGAATGAAATTTCGCTTTTGTTATATGAGAATAAATATATTGTCAATAAGATAAGAGTTTTGCACTAGCAAACTTCTTTACAACTTTATTGGTAACATTAACAATAACACTAAATAGGTATTGGCCAAAGGAAAAGTGCGAACGGGTCAGGAAGATGCACCTCCCTTATAAACCTTACAATTATATTTACATTACACTGAAGTATAGCGAGGTTGAGCTCGATTTGCACATAATCCACAAACTGATCTATCAAATACGCAAATGGCAGATTTTGGAAAAAGTGTACAGAAAAGAAAAGTGAACTTGGTTTTGAAAAGATGCGACTTTGGCATACACAAAAAATTAAACAAACTTTACTTCAATCAAAGAACTTTACATTATTTTAATTTCTGTGACACGAACATGAGACCTGGTACATTCATGGCATATCTGTATGAAAAAAACTGAATTACATAAAAACGAATAAATCCGACGAAAATAATTTTAAACCCAGATAATGTCAAAAAGCTGTTAGGTGCAGCAGTGTTACACACTGAGTGTATAAACTTAAGTCGTATAAACTTAAGCCTTGGTCAAACGAGAATGACAGTTGATGAAAGTTGATTGGATAATACCGCGCGCGTAGTGAAAACTCTCATCAACATTCATCAAAATTTGAACCAGTTGAAAGTTGACGAGGGTCAATGAAAGTGTATATGAGAGTCAGTGAGCGTCGCCGGCCAAACGTGAGCGAGAGTTGCACCTCTCATCAAGTCCCATCCTTGTTTGATCTAGGCTTGAAGTTGGTTTACTGGTAAACAATTATTATTTCTAACCTTAACAGCTCCACCAATTTTGTAAGGCTCGAACGTATTTCCATCGGAACCCAAAGACACAAAGTAAGTCTTCACCCATTGGTTAAAATTAGCCCGACCTTGCGTGGCAATCGCCGTGACAACTTCCTCTCTGCCAAGATCAACTTGAATCCATTGGTTCTGATCATTTCGACGGGCAGACCAGGATGATGCGCTATTTAAGCGTCCTTGTTTTGTTGATAAACTTGCACTCCAAACACTTGATGCAGTTATCTGGGAATCCTTAATCTTTCTGTCTTCCACTCCAAACGCAGTCTCTTGCGAATTGCATGGTCCTATGGGTAAAAAATAGTCGAGTAAGTATGGTTATGTGATGGGTCACTAGTACAGGACAACTTGGATTAGACCAATCCCACCGTTGTGTTTACGCTGGGTTGCTCTAATAAACACGTGCAAATGAGTCAGATTTTACAGTTCATGGGCTTACGATCACTCCTCACACTCCATGTAAAATTGGGTTCCACAAAAATCAATGGTTTTTAATTGGAATTTCAGACTTTATGTGTATATTATATACTCGCATAAAATTATGGAATGTTTTAGAGACTCGAGCTTCTCTTATTCAAGAGAAGAATGAATATCGCTTGGTGAACAGTCAAGTGCATTCCATTGTTCTCAAGTGTTTGGAAACCATGGTGGAACCACTTGTTAACGGAAATAACTTCACAATCGACAATAGTCTATTGTTTTACTAGTCTATGTTTCAATAGTCAATGTCGCTGGTTAGTTGTGAGATCGAGTAAAGTTGTGCGATTAAAAATTTGTAAACTGAACTATAACATTGGTTTGTTAATTTATAATTAAGAATTGTGGTAACTAGACGGTTTATTGTTTTGACTGTTTTCATAATTAAGAAATGTACGTTGTAATGGTACGTCAGGCATTTATTATGTAATTTCTTAATTACTGATTCCAAATTTAGATTTTTACTGGGGTTTCCAAACTCATGCATGCGACAAAATGCTTGTCTGATTGATCTATTTGCTCATGAATTATTAATGATTTTGAGAAGAATATTTCAGCATTGGCTGTTAGCAAATCGATATTTAGATAAAAATATTACAACACAAAACTATTATAATTATTTGATCAATGAAAATGGTACGTATATCATTTTAACAACAAAACAACGTGCTTATAAGTGTTTCGGCAGCGTTTTATGTTACTTTTCGAGTATATACATTTTTCTTCTTGGTATTCTTTCGTAAACTGGGGAAACGTTATTCTAAAATTTCGACTCCATTTTGTACATTTATTTACGTAGCCGATCGGAGTAGGCAACAATTGTTTATCTTCATGGCGTTTCTCTAAACCCATGCAAGTGAAAACAAATCAGCCAATCGCATATAATAAGCACACTTAGCTATAATTGTAAGAATACATAATGTTGAACATTTTACCTGTATAACAACCATAAACTTCAAATCTCATGGATTCATGGCCATACCAGGAGACCGGGTGTATGCGAATATAACGAGCAGTTATTGCAGGAGATAAAGCATTTGTAACGATAGACTGCATGTCACTATTTCCACTGAATACCTGTTTGTGAGATAATTGACAAAAATTAGTAATTTGCAAAATATAAAAGTCATTCTAGTTTGTTGGTTAGTCATTGAATCATAATTTGCCAAAACAAAATTATATAACTTGTATAGCAATTCCTTCGAACTCTTTGCTGAACTTAATAGACTTAATAGCTATAAGGGCGCTTTAATTTGATGGCCGATCAGACCAGGATTTCGTTTCCTGTATGAATGCAAAAGTCTGGTCCAGGCCTTTGGAAAATTAGGAAGAAGACTTGGTCAAAATTGTCCTGTCAGACTGGTCCGAAGCCGTTTAAACGTTTTGCGTTCTATTTCACAGTTAGATATAGATATATGACCGGTCTGACCACGTTGCATGTCTATATGGAGGCGACTTATTTGGCTCCCTTATCAACTTTATTGATTTTGTAAGGCTGAGAAAGTGCTAAGTGATTTCTATGATGTTCAGAAAAGAGCAGATTTGTTTCCTAATCGACAAGATTCAAAATACCACTCTATAAATATTATTTCTAACCTTAACAGCTCCATCAATTGTGTAAGACTCGAACGTATTTCCATTGGAACTGTAAGACACAGAGTAAGTCTTCACCCATTGGTTATAATTAGCCCGACCTTGTGTGGCAATCGCGGTGACAACTTTTTCTCGGCCAAGATCAACTTGAATCCATTGGTTCTGATCATTTCGACGGACAGACCAGGATGATGCGCTATTCAATCGTCCTTGTTTTGTTGATAAACCTGCACTCCACGCGCTTGATGCAGTTATCTGGGAATCCTGAATCCTTCCATTTTTCATTCCAAATGCCGCTTCGCCCGACTTGCATCGTCCTGCACGTATTATAAATAATTGTATTTTAACTTCATGCCAAATACCCACCTCCAAATTATATTGAACTTCACAATTTAGACGCGACGCGCTAATATATTTCGAAACACAATAATGAAAGGGGTTAATGAAAAAATAATGAAAGTTATAAAAGCAGGGGAATTGGCTAAAAATATTGAAGACAAAAAGAGAATTGTGCTCGAGCACCAAAATACAGCAAATATCCGTAATTAGTATTATTCTCGTACCCAGAGCCCTTCTTACGCGCGTTTGACCGAGCGCGACGAGGGGCTCTGGCCAAATCCATATCCGAACTGGGATCTGATTGGCTAGTTCTAATACCGGATATTGTTTCCGCGCAATTTGATTGGTTGTTCAGCTCAGTCTATCCTTGCATGCACTTTTCACAACAAGACGTCTCTCCGTTTTCTGCCGGTTACAAACGAGTAGAATATTTTACTAAATGGAGTTGCTTTTCCGCAAAACACGAAGAAACCACAAAGTTTTGTTTAATTGACAGTAGTTTCGAAGTATGCTTTAAAACTATTTCTGAGGAATAAAATTATTAAGCTTGATAATTACTGATTTGTTTACAACTACGGTGGGAGTTGGAATACAAATTGTTTATTTCCGTTGTTTTTGTTATTTTTGTTTTGTTATGGTGAATTTTCCTCCACTTCGGGGAATAATTTTTATTTACTCCGCCGGGTAACAAGTCCTTACTTTATTTCCATCAGTATAACGTTGGGGCCCATCCCAAAACAATTGGATACGTTATATATAAACAGGAGTACAAGCATACTCTATGTATGTACGAATCGTCATTAATTTGATTCGAATTTAAACAAATAATAATAGTTGTCTTAATAGAAAATACCTGAAGAGCAACCATAAAGTTCAATCCTCATTGATATATAAGAATACCATGCCATTGGGTGTATACGGATATAGCGCGCCGTTACAGCTGGTGATAAAACGTTTTTCACAACGGAATTTCTGTCATAATTTGCACTGAACACCTATACAAAAGAATTGAATTTTTTTGAAACAACAAAGCTTTCTAAAAACAACAAAATAACTGTGATCAAATTTATGAAAAGAGACTTAATTAATGAAATAAATTATTCAAAATGCGTACGACACGAGTCTTTATTATCTCGGAACTCCCTAAAACTGTATAACTCCTTATATATAGATTTCGAGCTCAGATTTTTAGTAGGTATAACGTATTAGGTAAATAAAAATATCTAGCGGGAGAACGTTGTGACTCACTATGAATATATTTTGAAGTTTTTCGCAAAGTCGTTATGCGACGTGACGTCTTAGAGAGAAAATTTGCATACCAAAATCATTAAATATAGCAAGAACGAAGCAGGGCTAAGCGAGTTTGACGGATTGTTTTATTTAGTCATTTTCATTTTTTTAAAATGCATTCTAAAACAATGGCGTGAAATTTCGTTGCAAAACTCGATTACGTGATATGACAGTAGAGCTAGGCCTTACCATGACTGTGCCTTTTACTTTGTAATAGTCAAAGCTTTGTCCATCTGAACTGTACGAAACAGAATAGGCCTTCACCCATTGGTCTGCATTACTTCGTCCTTGAGTTGCAATTACTGTCACAACTTCCTCTTTGCCAAGGTCGACTTGAATCCATTGGTTCTGATCCCTTTGGCGTGCCGTCCAGGAAGCTGCGCCATTTAATCGAGATCGTCGTGTCGATAAAGCCGCACTCCAAACAGATGATGACGTTATCTGGGAGTCAGAAATTCTTCCATTTTCTATTCCAAATGGGACGACCGCATCGGATTTGCAAGTTTCTGGAAGTATAAATAAATTAACAAATGTGAGCAAGCAGTGTTACTTTGGAAATTGTCCCAGCAAATAAATGAAAATTTTGCCGAATCCCACTCTCGCGACCCGTTGATTAGCCATCGCAGGCATTCCCAGCAGCAAAACATCTGATGAAAATCTTAATATTCCAAAATAAGAAAGAAGAAGTGGCACAAATCCCAAAATAAACAAATCCAAAATAAGTGACACAAATCCCAAAATAAACAAATCCAAGGGATACCTCCGCGACCCTCTTCCCATGACCAAGCTAACAATATTAAACTTTATAATTGCAGGACTTATTATCTCACTTTTGACGTAAAATTTATAATAATTACCTTGTGTGTTATCCCATTCCACCAATATCGAATTTGGGGCAGCGAAAGATGGCGATATTGCCAAGAATAATACAAAGGTAATTGTTTGCAACCCTTGAGTTACTAACGCCATTTTGTTTATACCTATACAACGAAATCAGAATAGAATGTGATCAACTAGGGGTTTATGGTATAATATCTAGATTGCTATAGACAATCTGTTTATTTATCAACACCGGTACCCATTTGAAAACCATTGGATGAAAAACAATAGTAAGTGCCTGTACTGCCTGACAAGATTTTCTTTGATAAGTTTACTGAAAATATCAGTTTGCTCGCGCGTACTGTGCTCGAATCGTCCAGTTAAGTAAAGCCGCATTACAGAAATTTTTGCACTTTGTAACGATGCTTTTGGTAGGGAATCATTCAGTTCTTAAGTGATTCTAATTTCTACTTGAGACAGATGGTGTTAATACATTGATAATTGCTATTCACAGCTTTCGATTTTGCTGAAATATATCTTTTAATTGGCATGAGCATATATAGCAATAGAGGTAAGCATAAGCAATATCGTTTAATTGGCATGAGCATAAGCAATAGGTTGTTTTCCATGTTTTACACAATCCAATATTTGGTTTCCTTTGTGTACTATCAAGAAATTTATTGTATGTAGTCCAATTTAACAAAAGTCCAATTTAACATTTATCATGTTTTACACAATTCAATATTTGGTTTCCTTGGTGTACTATAAGAATTCATTGTATGTAGTCCAATTTAACAAAACAAATTAAAAAAATAGCATTAAGTTTAAGCCCCATTTCTACTAAGGAAAATTTTCCGCAAAAAGAAAATTTTGTATAAACTTTAGGTAGTGTTGGTAGGTACTGTATTTTAACTACTGTGATAGGTACCGTTAGAACAAACTTTGCAAGTTCTGTGCCCATAGTGCCATGCCCATAGTCAGTAAACGCCTTCACATTAATTATCTAGAAATAACCTGCAAATAATGATTGCACCTGCACAATGTTCATAAATGCTTAGATTGTCATATATTGTATTCGGGTTTTCTGTTAAAATTTTAAGCAGTTGTTTAGCTTGTTCGCTTGGACACGGCATAGAAGGACTGCGTGAGAAAGATTTCCTTTAGACTGAATGGCAATGCAAGTGGTATAACCTCAAATAGTAATTTCTTGCCCTTGAAATACCCAGCTTTACATAAAGGCATTGATATATTTGAATTAAACAATGCATGTAGTCAACTAGCTTTTACATGGGTTCATTATATCTCGACAATAGGTAGTTAAACTGTTTGAAATAAATGATATGATTGTATGGAAATAGTGTCTTGTATTTACTTTCGTATGAATTTAATACAGTTTCGAACGAGTAAAACAGAGCTTTCACCTTCAGAGACTTTAGCGTACTTTACAAGATGTGAAAATATGCATTTTGCAGTCTTCAACATAGCTTGGACGACGTCTGAAACTCCTGCTATACTTTTAATTATTCATTTATTTTGTGGTATAGGATTAATGAATGACATTGTATTGATAGCCGTCGTCCTGACGTTACGGTCTTGCATGCATTCATGCGTAAACTCCCTAATAACTCGTAAGGCGTCTGGAAAAATTATAGCGGGGCGTTATAGGTTAATATTACACCTAAACAAATCTAATCTTTCGGTTGTTTCCGCGTCACAATTTTGATATATGGTTAACATTATAACGTACAGCTAACCCTATACAAAGTCACAAACTAAGGCAGCGTTTACACTGTACCGTTTTCGTAGCTTTCTCGTATTGTTCTTAATCCTCAAGGGAACGCAAGACAATAGTCTAGTTCTCTCGAACAATACGAGAACGCTACGAAAACGGTACAGTGTAAACGCTGCCATAGTCTATTAGCACGATGGACATTCCTACAGTATGTAAATCATAGTATGTAAATCATAGAAAACCAACCGTGTTGGCTTTCTTAAGAATTGATTTATAATTCGATCACAAATTCTCGTGATGTTCACCTTTTTCTGATTTTATTTGGTTTGAATAGCAAAACTGAACATTATTCCCTAGTGCTTCCATAAAAACTGCACATATAGCTAGAGAGTGTATATTGGTCCATCAAAAACTTTCAACCACACCTATAGCTATAAGATAGCAGCCGACGCGCGGCTTGCTGTGTTGGAAACGTTTCGCTTTGCAAAGTTAAGGAACCAACTAGCTTATATATTCAATATATGTAGAGAACGACCTGGAACTTGTGTTCTCAAGGCTAACGAGTTTATCATTCAGCAACTGAACGGGTTACATAGAAAACAATGAACCGCTTGCTGCTACTAGGCCTACTAAATAATTATCCTTAACCAAGACATATATATAATTGTATTCATGTGTTAAATTTGCTTTAAATATTGAAGTGGAGAAGAAAGGTTTACGGTCTAAAATAGTAATTTAGTTGACTGTGACTGCAAAAATTGAAGGACAGGGATTCCGATCTGAGATGTATTCGCCATAGCAAAGGCGGTATTTATATTCGCATGCAGATTCGAAAATAAGCGTATGATGCAAACTAAAAAAGTTTAAGGCGTGGCAAATAAGTGTAAGCAATAGAAGTATATAGGTAAAACCGTAAAATCAAAAGCTTAACCAACCTTCAACCAACAACTCAACAACGCTTCGTACTTTTCCTATCGTAGTTCGTCTTGTCTCGAAGCTTATAATTAGGCGTTGCTTGTTCGATTCTTGAACAGAATGAAGCGAGCAGTGCTTGGTTGCATATTTTAAGCCTTACAGTACGTCACGCGGATTGCTGTCGGTCAGCGATGCAACCATGCACGAATCATTGTTAGTGATCATTGAACGGGGATAATTAATTCAAGTCGGACAAAGGATTTACTCATCATTGACCACTCAATATAGCACCGGAGAGATAATCGGATCTCATGCATGCGTCACTGCGTATATGACTTGTTATTGACAATTCTTGGTAGAAGACAAATTCCGCAAACACAACACTATACAGGGTGTCTCATAAAAACCCAAAATCATTGAAATTGACGTATTGTTCGATATTCAATGCCCTAGCACTAAGTTAATCCCACGAGTGCATAAAAGATTGACATAACTGCTATAATGAATGGTAATACTCAGCGTAAACTTGTTATGTCAGGCATAAAGTACTAAACCCACGAATGCATATTACGCATATTACAATTTACGAAGCATATTTTTAAATTCCCATGAGCAAACAAACGTTCACTTTACAAAGATATTTTAATTTTTTAAAACAAATTAATCACCCTGTCAAAATCCTTTGTGTTACGGCATTGAAATTCGAACAATACGTTATTTCAATGATTTTGGTTTTTTTTTGAGACACCCTGTACAGGGTGTCCCAAAAAAAACGTAAACTATAGAAATCACTTATTGTTAAATTTGAATGCCCTACCAAACAGCTGGACGTAATGATGCGTAAAATATTGACAAGGTGCAGGTAGTAGAATTTAGTTAGGAACATCTCCTAGTAAAGTGCGCGATTTTTTGCTCCTGGGAATTAAAAACAGCTTCTTAAACAGTTTCTTTATGCATAAAATTTACTTCTGTCAATCATTTATGCACTCGTGGGAACCAACAGAGCGCTAAGGCATTCAAATTCTAACAATTAAATTGTTATTGGTGATTTCAATAGTTTCCGGGGTTTTTTTTTGGACACCCTGTACAGTATATCAAAGTATATCAATCTGTATGTGATTCCGTAGTCTTTCTCCTGGTGTTGTAAAAGAAATAAAAGCGCGACAGACTATACTGATTACCGACCCCTTTCTACTTTAATTATAAACTGTCCGTTCTGAACGGATTCAACATTAACCCACCCATTATTCATATTTGGTTTAACTGCTTATATTTGGGATAAAATATTTATTGAAATTGAAATTCTTCGCGTCTCCGACTTAAATATAGTATAATTTACTTGAAAATTGTTGGATGTGGTTTGGCCAACAATGTTGGCTTCTAGCTATGGCTATCTATATAACTTATATAGCTGTTAATATATAAAAGAAACTGGGATTCACTAATCTATATTGGCATTGAGCTTGTCTGTGGACCACAGATATGCTTCAGTTGTGATGCATGCTCATTTTAGAGCAGTTATACCAGCAAGTATTTAATATCAAGTATTTATTGACAAGTTTTATATGCTTGTCTAAATCTAGTGAAGTTTGCTAGTGATAAAGCTGGGTATATAGCCTAGCGAAGCAGTGCCCGATTAACCATATGACAGAAGCGGCATATTATGCCGCGGGCGCCGCGCTTACTCTCTTCTATTTTTCCGAATTTTTTGTTCCCTGTTTCAGCGCTGGGCCCAAACAGTGCGGGGCTCCAAAAAGCCCAAGTCGCCCAGAAAACGCGAGGTGAAAAGCGGGGCCCCAAAACCGGGGCCTCAAACGGGTTTTTCCCTGTTTCAGTGTTGCAGCGCGGGGCCCCAAAGAGCCGGGCCAGGGCCCCCAGAAAACGTCAGCCCCAATTTAAATATCGAGACTCCAAAGAGCGGGGCCCCAAACGGGTTTTTTGTGATCAAAACAGCGCGGGCCCCAAAGCGTCCGAGGCCCCCAAAAGCGAAGCCCAAAAATTAAAAAGAGGCTCCAAAAGCAGGGCCACGAACGAAATTTTTTTTGCTTCTTTGGGCAAGGTGCTCCAGTGGGTTTTGGCTCTGAAAATTTCAAAATTTGGGATTAAACTGTTTAATAGTATTACTGTTAATTACTGTTGATGTGCAACCTTTTCGTGGGGGAAGCTAAACGCGTGCGTCAACGAAATCGCCGTTACGACGAGCCAATGAACTCATAAGATGGGTCGTTTTATAAGCGCGATAAAACATTCGCATCCGATCTTTATCTGATATACAAACTCTCGCCTTCGGCTCGAGTTTTTACATCAGATAAATATCGGCTGCTCATGTTTTATCCAGTACATAAACACTTGATCGTACGACATAGCATAGCCAGTTATCGAAATTGTCAGGAAACGCCTTCACATTAATTGTCTAGCAATAACCATATAATGATTGCACCACAATGTTCATAATGCTTAGATTGTAATATATTCTATTCGGGTTTCCTGTTAAAATTTTAAGCCGTTGTTTAGCTTGCATGCTTGTTTGGACATGGCATAGAAGGACAGCGTGGGAAAGATTTCCTTTAGACTGAATGGCCAGTGGTATAATCTCCAATAGTAATTTCTTGCCCTTGAAATACCCAGCTTACATAAGGCATTGATAAATTTGAATTAAACAATGCATGTAGTCAACTAGCTTTTACATGGGTTCATTATATCTCGACAGTGGAGCTGTACTGTGGAGTAGTCTTTCTGCTGAGGCTAAGTCTGCTCATTCGATTTATTGTTTCAAAAGACTTATTTGAATCTCGTTTTTAATTGTTATTCCATTTGTAACTACACATTATGTTCTGGGTAATATTCTTTTTGGGTCTGTGGGTTAATTAGTTTTTTTCTTCATTTTTATATATACTTGTAAATAGCTAAATATAGACGTTCCTCATGAAAACCAGCCGTATAGCTGATGAGGATAGCGTCTCTAAAGAAATTAAATACATACACCCACAATAGGGAGTTTACCAGCATGAGCTCCACCTTTGAATTTACTATATGAGTAAATTCTTAAACACGTCCGAATTTATCATTATGATAAATTCGCGGCAAATTTTGAATTTACCATAATAATAAATTCGCGCACCTAACACTGACCCTAACCCCTACCCATAGAAATATTAGACCTAGAATGCGTGCTTGGTCACGTCACCGGTGTCCAAACTGAAAACAAAAATGCCTATATATTTGAATGAGTAGGAGTGCAAACTACAAAGTATAAACAAAACTAAAACTATAAAGTTTTCATCGTCAAAACGTTTGGTATTTGTAGTTTGGGGATAGAATTTGAAATATTAAGTTCTTTAAAGGCTCAAAGCAAATGTGCCGTTACAAAAACGGTGAAAATCGTGCAGCCTTGTATAAAAAACAAGTAGTTTTTTCGTGTAGTATCGCGTATAAAATATAACTTACTCATAAAACATTTTTGCAAGCTCTGAACGTAACTGTTTTGCTAATACTTTATAAAATTACGAGATGATAGTTCATTCTTCGTCGGGTTTTGTTTTTCTTCAATCTATACGAAGTGTTTTCATGTTTTTGAAACAAAAATATTTAGTTGTTGATATTTAAAACTGTAAATCGCCTAAATGATCGTCGAAAACACATGGTTTCAAAAGCGTTGCCTCAAGCTCAAGCAACGTATAAAAAAAGTATAAAAAGTAGTTGTGTAAGTTTAAAAAGATTATTGAACACTATTTATATTATAAAACAGTTGAAATATATTTTTTAAAACATACCTATTGAGTTTCAGTTTGTCTTGATTTTTCGTGTTTTGTTTTGGCTTGCACAACAACGTTGAAAATGTATTTTGAAACGACGATTTCTCTATATAATCTGTTCAGAACTATTGCTCTTCGTAAATAATCCCACGGGAATGGGTTTTTCTCCATTAAAAACACTTTTTTTCCACTTCAAGTCTGGATAGAATTGTTTTTGCAAACTTTGTTGAAAAAAACAATTCGCACTCCCGGCACCGCGCGAAATTCCACGCCACAGGAGTCTGGGACTAGCCAAAATGCCCTTATAAATCCGCCATTTTGTGGAGACAAAATTTTTACTGTAAAGAGATAGGAGCACGCATTCTATGTCTATTATTTCTATGCCCCTACGCCAACAACTAACCACTATAACCACTAACCACTATAACCACTGACCACTAACCACTAACCACTAACCACTAACCACTAACCACAACTTTTTTACCCTTTTTACCCTTTTTTTAAAAACCTAACTTTTTAAACTTTTTTTGCTTTTCAAAACTCTTCAAAACTTTTTAAAACTTTTTTAAAAACTATTTTTTTTAAAAACTTGAAAAACTCCCCACCTCCGCGCGACCAGCCTGCCTTTAGTGCCATTACATTTATAGCAAGAAACCTTGTCTAATACTTGTGGTTTTATGATTAACTCTATTGATAAATTCAAAATGTGCCGCGAATTTATCATAATGATAAATTCGGACGTGTTTAAGAATTTACTCATATAGTAAATTCAAAGGTGGAGCTCATGTTGGAGTTTACGCATGTAACGCGGCGGCGTCATGAAAGGACGACGCGGTTTATTATTAAAGAACTGTTTGAAATAAATGATTGTATGGAAATATTGTCTTGTATTTACTTTCGTATGAATTTATAACAGTTTGAATGAGTAAAACAGAGCTTTAACCTTCAGAGATTTTAGCGTACTTTACGAGGCGTGAAAATAGTTATGCATTTTGCCGTCTTCAACATAGCTTGGACGACATCTGAAACTCCTACTATACTTTTAATTGTTCATTTCTTTTGTGCTATAGCCTATAGGGTTAATGAATGACATTGTATTGATGCCGTCGTCCTGACGTTGCCGTCTTGCATGCATGCATGCACGCATGCATGCATGCGTAAACTCTCTAATAACTCGTAAGGCGGAAAATTATAGGGCGTTATAGGTTAATATTACACCTAAACAAATCTAACCTTGGGGTTGTTTCCGCTTCACAATTTTGAATATATGGTTAACATTATAACGTACAGCTAACCCTATACAAAGTCACAAACTAAGTCTATAGGCACGATGGACATTCCTACAGTATGTAAATCATAGTATGTAAATCATAGAAATCCAACCGTGTTGGCTCTCTTAAGAATTGTTTTATAATTCGATCACAAATTCTCGTGATGTTCACCTTTTTCTGATTTTATTTGGTCATCTAACCCAATTGAATTGCAAAACTGAACATTATTCCATAGTGCTTCCATAAAAACTGCATATATAGCTAGAGAGTGTATTGGTCCATCAAAAACTTTTAACCACACCTAGCTATAAGATAGCAGCCGACGCGCGGCTTGCTGTGTTGGAAACGTTTCGCTTTGCAAAGTTAAGGAACCAACTAGCTTATATATTGAATATATGTAGAGAACGACCTGGAACTTGTGTTCCCAAGGCTAACGAGTTCATCATTCAGCAACTGCACGAGTTACATAGAAAACAATCAAGCGCGTGCTGCTACTAAATACTTATCCTTAACCAAGACATATATAGTTGTATTCATGTGTTAAATTTGCTTTAAATATTGAAGTGGAGAAGAAATGTTTACGGTCTAAAATAGTAATTTAGTTGACTGTGACTGCAAAAATTGAAGGACAGGGATTCCGATCTGAGATGTATTCGCCATAGCAAAGGCGGTATTTATATTCGCATGCAGATTCGAAAATAAGCGTACGATGTAAACTAAAAATGTTTAAGGCGTGGCAAATAAGTGTAAGCAATAGAAGTATATAGGTAAAACCGTAAAAACCAAAAGCTTAACCAACCTTCAACCAACAACTCAACAACGCTTCGTACTTTTCCTATCGTAGTTCGTCTTGTCCCGAAGCTGATAATTAGGCGTTGCTTGTTCGATTCTTGAACAGAATGAAGCGAGCAGTGCTTGGTTGCATACTTTTAAGCCTTAAGCCTGCAGCACACGAGAGCTATCTGCTGAGCCAAAAGTTACTCGTGCCTGTTAGCTCAGCCGATAGCTCACCGATCAAACATGTTTGATACGTGAGAAAAGGTTGCATGAGGCAAAAAACTCAGTCAAATGTACCCGCACACGGTGAGCTATCGGCTGAGCTAACAGACACGAGTAACTTTTTGCTCAGCAGATAGCTCTCGTGTGCGGCAGGCTTTACAGTACGTCACGGATTGCGGTCGGTCAGCGATGCAATCATGCACGAATCATTGTTAGTGATCATTGAACGGGGATAATTATTTCAAGTCGGACAAAGGATTTACTCATCAATGACCACTCAATATAGCACTGGAGAGATCATCGGATCTCATGCGTCACTGCGTATATGACTTGTTATTGACAATTTTTGGTAGAAGACAAATTCAGCAAATATAAAACCATAATGTACAGTATATCAATCTGTATGTGATTCCGTAGTCTTTCTCCTGGTCTTGCAAAAGAAATAAAAGCGCAACAGACTACAAAACCCTTTCTACCTTATAAACTGCCCGTTCAGAACAGAATCATAGCCCAACATTATTCATGTTCGGTTTAACTGCTTATTTTTGGGATAAAAGATTTATTGAAATTTTTCGCGTGTTTGACTTAAGTGTAGTATCATTTATCTGAAAATTGTTGGATGTTAGTTTGGCCAACAATGTTGGCTTCTATAATTTTTTGTGTTTGACTTAAGTGTAGTATCATTTATCTGAAAATTGTTGGATGTTAGTTTGGCCAACAATGTTGGCTTCTATAGCTATAGCTATCTATATAAATTATAGAACTGTTAATATATATATAAGAAACTGGGATTCACTAATCTATATTGGCATTGAGCTTGTCTGTGGACCGCATGCAGATATGCTTCAGATGTGATGCATGCTCATTTTAATTTAAAGCAGTTATATACCAGAAAGTATTTTATGGCAAGTATTTATTTGACAAGTTTTACATGCTTGTTTAAATCTAGTGAAGTTTGCGAGTGATAAATCTGGGTATATATAATATAGCGAAGTAGCTGTTTGTAGTTGTAAAAAAATCAAAAGAATGCCCCGCCGCATGGCCAGAAATGGAGTCCAACATGGCTGCCAAGCATGCGCATTTTGACTCAAAATAAAAATTCAAAATGGCGTCTTCTTATATAATTTGAATGGGAATAATGTAAAATTTGTATTTTTGATAACTTACGGTTGAGAAATCCAAAATGTGCATATCTAAAACTTCACCGATTCTGTCCAACTTTTATCTGTAAAAAAATTGGTACCACTCGAGTTGTCTAAGTATGTTCCCGAGCAATCAATATCTCTGCCTAGTCTTTGCATAGGAAATATGTGATTTCGACATATTAGGTATTTTGCAGGTCCAATTTCAACTCGTTCTTTGCAGATATCGTCAAATGTGCATATCTGAATTGCTTCACTGTTAATTTCAGGGTGTTAAAATAACACCAAAAACTGGTGTTAAAAAATTAGGTAAAAAACAACACTACTTTTTGGTGCTATTTTAACACCACTAAAAAAGTGTTAAAATAACACTAGATATGGTGCTAAAACAACACCCATTTTTAGTGTTAAATTAGCACTAGTTTTGGGGGTTAATTTAACACCTGTTTATAGTGTTAAACTAACACCACTTTTAAGTGCTAAAGTGACACCAGTTTTAAGAGTTGATTCAACACCTATAGTGTGGCGTTAAAATAACACCTGATTTGGCAGTGCCAAAGCAACACCTCTTCCTATCTGATGCTAAAATAACACCAGATTTAAGGTGTTGATTTAACACTTTCAACCAGGCACATTAAGACACACACAAAAGAGAAATATAGGTTCAAAATTGGTTATTATTATAAATTACTCGCTGACAAGAAATACCTTTAACATGCATGAATTTATATGAACTAAGTATTTATCACGATTAATTTCAGAGTCCAAGCTCACTTAAAAGTTGTTGTACAGAAATTTTGTTCTCGGCATCAGTAGGGTGGTTTAAGGTGACAGCTTCTAAATTCTAGAAATGCATAAACACTCGAAACACCTGGAGTGTATTCCATATTTAGAACATGGAATGTAGCAATAAGTATGTGGAATATTTTTACCAGCAAAATGCAAGTAAATTTGCCCCACGGCAGCAATGTACAATGGGTCCAAGGATGCAATGTCACCTGATGCCAAGATTCAAGGATAGCTATAGGTTGATTTCCTCACTTCTTCATCAATGGGCAATGGGGTCGTCATCCTAAAAGTATTCATTTTCACATTAGTCTATACAGTATATATATTTAGTAATTTTAAATGTTGTCAAGTTCTAATGCAAATGCTCTATTCTGATTGGCTTTACGCTACTCGTTATCTAATTGTCAATGAGATAGCTAGCTAGAGCGCAAACCATCTCTTTGGTGAGACAAATAAGCATTGATCACATGCAATGATAGGATAAGAGATGTGCCATCTCACCTTAACACTACATGTAGCAATTTTAATTACTTCAAAAGGAGTATGCACAGTATATAACAGAGGGTAGCCATTGAGCAAGTGTCCCTTAACTATATAATTAATCACTGTTACAGTTCAATTCCATTTTGCCATTGAAAAATCATGTCAATACATTGCCATTTCAAGAATGAAAAACTACTTCGTTATAATGTTACACGTGTCAAACGGGTCATTTGTCCAGGACGGATAAGAGATGTGCCATGATCTCACCTTAACACTACATGTAGCAATTAATATTTTTCAAAAGGAGTACAGTATCTAACAGGGAAGCCATCGAGCAAGTGTCACCTAGCTTAACTATATAATTAGTCACTGGTACAGACTGGCCCGTACAGTCCAATTGCATTTTGCCATTGAAAAATCATATCGATACATTGCCATTTTAAGAAAGAAAAATTACCCCCATTATAGTGTTAATTAACTGTGTCAAATGGGTCATTTGTCCTGGATGGATAAGAGATGTGCTATCTCACCTTAACAAGTGCTACATGTGGCAATTATTCTACTTTAAAATGAGAATCTGTTGCAATAAGAACTTATTAGGTTTAGTGTATCTTTTGACATGGTCGAGAAAGAGAATTATGTTTGGGGATTTTATAATGTGAAATTATATCATAATCAATATTCAGTTCACTCTTAAATATTAATACACAGGACTCTCCCATTGATAGCCCAATGATAGGTAAAATTATCTCTGTCATTATACCGTAAACCTCCGACTATAAGCCCCACCCCCCCGAATATAAGTCCCCCGGAATATAAGCCCACCACATATACTAACGCTCAATTCATTCCAAATATAAGCCCCCCCCGAACATAAGCACACCCAAATATAAGCCCCCCAAATATAAGTCCCCTGAATATAAGCCCAGTAGCCCACTATGTTATTCAACATTTTCATTGTCTTTTAATATAGCAGAGAACGATATTTAAAAACATTGTCATTGTCTTTATAGCCGACTATATGTTATGTTAATCAAAGCACGTTATTCCATTAATAATATTTTCCTGTTTATGACTGACTTGTTTATGTCTGATTTGTTTATTACTAACACAAAAGATCATCCATGTATTAGACCCCCGCATATATAACCCCCCCCCCTTGTATAAGCCCATCAAAAATCGCTTACGAAAGTATATAAGCCCAGGGCTTATATATAAGCCCAGGGCTTATAGTCGGAGGTTTACGGTATAAGATCCCCTTGGCAAATTAGATAAAAATTGTCTGCGTTAGCCAGAATAAAACAATAAAATAAGGTATATTTGGGAACATTGCAGCTTAATGGTTAAAAATCAAATATAAAATTCGAGTTGGCAAAAATATTCATGAAACACCAGCTCAGGTCCAGCTGTGTAGTGTATACTGTATCTCATCTCACATACAGTATTAAATATAAAATAAATTCCATCGTTCAGTAATCAATATAAAACATTACCGTTTCGGTTTGCCATTGAAATTTAATGAATAAAATATTGTTGGTCTGTGTTGTTGTGCGTAATTTGAATAGAATGCACAAAATCTTGCATTCCTATATGTATATGATATAGTTGAGGTTGGGCATTTAACAGCCATTTCCCGATTTTCCATCTCAGGTTCTAAAATACTTGTCTTTATAATTGAAATGAAAGCAGTAAACGCAAGATAAATCAGACAAAACTACAGTACTTGTAAATCAAAACGCGCGCAAGTTTTCTTAACTGAGACTGCAATGGCAATGAAAATAGCCTCAGCATAATGGCGGTCGTATTATAAATACGACAATCGCAGACAACAAGCACTATAATTCTCGCAGTATTATAATAACTCACCTTATTCCTTTCGACGTTTATCACATCTTTGAAGTTACAGGCGAACTAATTCTAAAGCATTGACGCTGTGAACCACACGTTTTGAATTGCATTGGCGGCCAGACCTTTGTCATTCAAATACAAACAGCAACCTTGCTCGCTTCTTCCTCACACTGTTTTAAAGCCATCTTTATGCTTGAAATATGAATATACTAAAGCCATTTTTAATCAGTTTGTATCGCTTCCATCGCACTGACACTTAGAAGCAATCCTAATAGAACCCTCGCACCACAAACGAATCCCATACAAACGACCACAAACTATAATGCCAGACTGTAGTGATGGGCGATACCGAGTACTTGGTATTCGATACCAGCGATACCACAAACAGCGGTTTCGGTATCGATTACTGACGTGGTATCGTTCGATACTTGCACCCTTTTTTAAACGACTTGTTTAATTTCACTTCTTGGTTGAATAAGACTTAATGAACCACTAAAATAAGTCTTAATATTCCAAATGTGGTGCGCCAAGTCATGTATAGAAAATATTTATTACGTTTCAGGCTTTTGGTTTACATATAGCTTTATTTAGGTTACATACAGTAATGTAAAATGTTTTTCCGCTGACCG